GCCCCAATTTCTGCCAGCTGGGGAGGTGGGAGGTGGGAGCTGATCAGGGGCTCAGACTGAGCACAGATCCTCCAGTGCTTTCTTTAATGACACAGAGCCAGACCTGGTGTAGAACTTGGCTACAGGCTGTATTATTATAGAGAAGTGTAACTTCATCCCTTTCACACTATAGGTTTTTTTCCTCTCATGTGGAAGGGATTGTGTTACTTAATTGCAGGGAAAAAAACCTCAGCCTCTACTTATTCCCCATGTCAAAGGAAAAAAGAAGCTTCCTAATTAGACCTAAATTATGCATTGCATAGAGGAAAGCCAAGGTTTGCCCTCTATAAAAACATTATTGGGCATGCTCCCATTTCATAGTGTGATTTGATATTAATGAATTGTTCATTCACCTGGAGCCTTGTAAGGGTCTGTCCAGCCAGCCCCATTGTGTTAATCCTTCCCAAATGTTGTTTCAGCTGTACTTAACAAGTGATACCAGCTTGTGCTATCAGAAATAATTAACAAAGTCTTTGGGCTTCAGGCAGCTTTTAACTTATCGTGTGTTTCTAATGTCTGATGTTTGGGTTTGAAATTAATGAAGGGGATTCATTTGCACTTTTGTTTCAAGCTTGATTTTGGTGATGGTGACAAACTGGCCTGTAGTGTTTTCATGTTTAGTCCTGTGTGTTCACAGGAGAAGGAGAACTCGGGACTCTAAAAAAAAAATAAATAAAAAAATTAAATGGCTGTTTCTTATGCACTTCTAAAGAAAAAAACAGCTGACAGCACTTCCCCCTTCTCCCCACCAAGTAGTGGTTGTGGAATATTGGAAAAGCCAACTTTGTTCCTTCAAGTGTTCTCCATTTCCAAAAAAAGGATGTTTGGTGTAAAGTGCTGTTTTTATCTTGCAGCATATGCTGCGTGACAGCCTGGCCTGCTGTCTCTTTCAGAGTCCACTATTTCCTCAACTTTCTGATCTTTGAGTATAAAATCCAGAGTTTTTTCATCCTCAATGCACTTGAAACCACTTTAAGAACAGTCAACTCTTGTTGCTGAGCTAATCGTGTCATCCTATGCTCAAGTAAATTTGGCTCTGTTGTCTTCCTAAAGGCTCCCAAAATCTGGTCTGTTTTACATTGTCCTTGCCTCCAATCTGCATCCCCCCTCAATCTGTATCCCCTTGAGCTTCCAGGAGTTCGTGCTGCCAAGATGGAAAAAGTTAACCTGTTTAGAAAAATATTTCTGGTGCTCGTATTTTGAAAAGCTTCTCATTGTAATGATAAGGGAAGATATCAGTAATTATTTTTGCCTTGAATGGTGTTGGGGAAATAGCAGCAATTTAGACAGCAGCCACAAATTTGGGCAGTTTGGGGACTGCTGAGCATGCAAAAAAGTGTGGAAATTTGGAAATATCTGTGCTTCTGGCCAAGTGGGATGAAACCAAGGAACATCACTTGCTACATGGCTTATGGGGATGTATTCCTCTCCAGACTGTTGCAACACAGTGACAGATTTTCTTATGTATTTGTTTCTGTTTCTGGACTTGGTCTAACCCAGCAAAAGCAGAAGTATTTGAAAGAAAATATACTTGGGGGAGGAAGGGCAGGAAATGGTAGCTACACTTCTTCCAAGCTAGGCTTTGGACCTTGAGCCATCCTAGTTGTACTATTTAAAAAAAAACCCAAAAGAAACCCAAAAAAACAAAACAACCAAAACTTGCATCATTTATACTGAAATTCAATGTATGAACTGTCATTTTGATATTATGAACCAGAAAAAAAAAATTTCAGTAAGTTTAACAGGAAGTAAATTGAATTGTGAGTTAATTTTTGGTTGTCTTTTGTTGCTTTTCATAAAGTTGTGTAATTATTTAAAAACATTTTATAAAGATATACTGTTTTAGAACTATTACTGCAGAAATTCTACTTGATTGGGCTGTTTTAAAAGTACTCTTTTTATCCTTGTCTTTCTGAAGATAACTGCACTTTTTAAATATCATTGGATGCATATATTTTACTTTCATGAGTATAGTCCCACAATTCTAATTTCTGAATTAAACCATTCATAGGAGATAGCTGTACCTTAATGGCTAAACCTCAATAAAAGCACGAGTGATGCTGATGCAGTGGCAGTATTTATGGAGAATTCTCCTTTTGGTTTTTTTGCAGGGCCCTACATGCAACATATCAGTTTAGCCCTGTTTTGTGGAGAGCACTTTTTAAGCCCTCTGTGGATTTTAAGCTTTCAGAGCAGCACATAAGGATAATGGGTTTTTTTGCTATCTCAGGTGGCTGTGAGTGTTCATCATACAATGTAAAGTGATTTGAGGTTGGATATGTTTTTTAGGGTTTATTTGGGTAGCAGTAGTGCCTAGGGAAGCCCAGCTTATAAAGGCTGCTGCTATGTATCTTTCTGACAAGGTTCATAACAGCAAATATAATAAGCCTCTTGTGAATTGACTTCATTTTTAGATTGACTTTTACCTTCAGAGCATCAAATAAAGGCCAGGGCTTGCAACAGAACCTGCAAAAAGTCTCTGTAGACTAATCCTAGGTGTACAATGCAGATAGTGGTTAACACCATGTTCCTTTGGTTCAGTGAATTGACCTACAGCACAGATACTGTTTTTCTCTCTTGGATCATCAGCTGAAAGGATACAAGTGCAGGGAGTGCAGGTTGTCACACATGGGAGCAATGAAAACTCAGTCTGCACTGGTGAAGGATGCTAATCACTCTTCCAGCAGCTTTATTTCAGGCTTTCTTGTGTGATTGCCAAGCAAGCACCATAATCACCTCTGCAGGCTCTACACAAAGACCACAGAGACCCTTATTTGTGTGTTTGGAAGTGCTGTGGGGGCAGTAAGTTGGACAGGAATTTGTTGCTGTCTTACTTCTGTTCAGAATGGAGTACAGGAAACCCTTGTATAAAAAAGGTTAGATATAATCTATATTTTTGCATCTTAAAGAAGAAAAGGTTACTGCTTCATCTTCTCAGGGAAGAATGCATTGTTCTTCTGTGTGTGGTGCTGTTGGTGATTCCCAGAGCAGTTGTGTGGCCCTGGAAGCAGCCTCAGCAAGGAGCTAAGCAGCAATCAGGCATTTCATGGTACCAGAGCAGTTCTGTGAGATGGCATGGAGCAGCTGTGATGTGTTGCAGCTTTACACCCATCTGCCTAACGTTTCACAGACTAATACAGGGGAATCAGAGGCACAAGCCAGCAGGGTTTCTCAGTTGTATTTCTCATGGATATGTGGTCCTCACCAGTGATGGAACAGCCTGGCTCTATTTGGGCCTATTGGTTTCTAGTGTCTCCAGTGCTCTGTTGTCAGCCAGTGTCAGTGTTTCCTCCAGATCATCCACTGCTTTTCCTCCACATCATCCACTGTTTTGATGTGCCTTCCTGCTTTGTGTAAAAGTTACAACCATGTCTTTGTTTCTGGGCTGTGCTAGGGCTGGTTTGTCCTCGCTGTTTATAATGAGGCAGAATTACAGCAACAAAGGAACCCTGGCAAGCGCTGCCTTCACTGCCAGCCCCTGAGAGCTGAGCACTGTTGGAGGGAGAGAAGCTGCAGAATTTACCCTTTGTCCCTTTGGTCGCTGTGGAGAAGTTTTTAATCTAATCTGAATTTTCTGCCATCAAATCTTGATAAAATTCTCCTTGGAATATTTAGGATTTAATATATTAAATATTTCATATTTGCTTTCTTTAAAACTACATGTTACAAACACATCAATGTGAAAATTGAACATTTATTCATCTGGCAGGTGTTGACAGTGATGATGTGAAGATGCTTCCAGTTTTCTCCCTCTCTCTCTGTAGTTGATAATAACACTGCTGAGTTTCTTTCCACACTAAATAGTCAAAATCTCTCAATTTTAAAGCTCAATGGAAAGTACTGTGGATTTTGAAGAATCTGTCCCAGATAGCATAGAACATGGGTTTAGTTTGGATTAGAGAAGATATGAGATCCTTGACAAACTGAATGTTGTGCAGGACAGCATCTGATGGTGTGCTCTAAACCACTGTGGCCACCACCAGGTAATACCCCATACAGGGTAATGTTACTGGAATGTTTTTCCCTTAGTGTTGTTTTGTTTGGTTTTTTTCAGATTATACTTTGACTTTGAAACTGAGATATTGAGCCTGTCATTTAGACTTGGAGTATTCTTGGAGCTGACATCTCAGTTTTTCCACCATTTGGTTTGGATAAAATCTAGGCCTTTAGGGAAAACAGTTTGGCTTTAATGCTTCATAGCTGCAATGCAGATTATATGAGTAGATTTTACAATCTCCCTCAATTCAAAGCTGGTGTTTTGCAGCAGTTTCAGTTTTTGACAGATACAGCCCTTAAAACAAGAGTCAGCACTTGTGCTGTCACTTCTGTCATAGTCACAGAGACTGGAGGTGGACCCTTGTCTAAAATGCAACAAGAAAAGCCTGTGTGCTGCTTTCAGTTCTTTTCTTCTCAAATGTGCTCTCACATGAGTGTGTTCTCACGAGTGTACGCAGCAGGGATTTTGAGAAACTTTGTTGATTTAAAATTAATCTATTTCACTGAGTTTCATTGCCAAAACCAGTTTTAGTGCGGTATGTTTTTGTTCAGAGCAGTGCAACTGATGCTTGTCAACTATCTCACAGTACATCTTAGCATAGGAAAGGATCAGAAAGTGTATTTGAGGAGCACATCCAAACCCTCCTTTCTCACTTAAGCTCTCTCTGTCACAATATAGTCTACAATATACAGTGAAGAGTTTGCATGCAGGCATTTAAGATGTCTGCTCCTGTGAGAAAAGCATAATGTGTAGGAGTGGAGAAACTTGGCAAGACCAAGCAGCTGCTGAGTTTGTTTGGGCTCTTTATAAGCTGTTGTTAAATGTAAAAGCAGACAGTTATCTTCTAGTTTCCACTGTAACCTTGGACTTTGAACATCATCAGAAACTCTGGGATATTGGTATTTTCTCCTAACTGCTGAATTGCTTGTGTGTAGCATTTCTGAGTGAGAAGTTAGCATTGGAGGTGAACTGAAGCTGAGTCAAATGAAACTACAACAAATAGCCATATTCAAAACTATGAAGCAGAGGTAAAAATATGGCATCCAAATGTATTTGGCCATTGGAAATGAGAAAGATAGTGGGGTTACTCAAAATGTATATGCATAGCTGTTTTAATGTATCTGATAACTTGGAGATAAAAAACTAAGTTGTAAGTCCTTGTATTTGGTCTCAGGACTAACACTGGCTTGAGTCACATGGGATGAGTGAAATTAGTGCAGTTGTTAGTTTAGCTTTGTCAATGCTTTCCAATTTTTTGTTCGTGTAGTCACAGGCTTACTGGAAATTGAGACTTCTTGCTGGGCAAGCTGTCCCTTTCAGCAGAATTCTCCTGTGATTCTGTTAAATAAACCTTCCAGTGGCAGCTACATGTTGACCTACCCTGTTTGTTTCTACCTATGGCCTCAGAGGGTCTTAGAGCTGTTTCCCAGCGTTGAACAAGCCTGAAATCTGGTTTCTTTTACATGCATGTTGAGTAGTAATGATATGTGATCTGCTGTTGGCCAGTCCTGTAGCTGAGCTCTGGGGTGTAGTTCTGAACAGAATGAGCAACAGGGTCTCTTGAGCAGCTAAAATATGTTCCTCATTAAAACTTTTGATCAGTATTGTGCTTGAGTTGCATTTATGAAAGTGAGCAGTCAGATGGTATTTGTTAATTTTTAAAAAAAGCTGTCTATTTTTCTTTCTTTGTGAGGTCACCTCAATCTCCACTCTCATCAAATAGTGCCCCAAGCTGCAATAAGCAGTGGATTAGTTTGGGAGGGTTATTGCTTCATTGTGAGTCTGTGTGAATGAGAATTATGGTCGAGACTTTCTGTTCTTCAGGAGGATAAGCAGTCGTGCCAAATAATCCTAAACTTGCTTTCTAACTCTTGTTTTACTCAACAGAAATAAAGTGGGGAAACAGTTAAAAAAAGCCTAACTCACTAAAAGTCATAAAATGTTTCCATTTATTGAAAATGGTCCCCACATGAGGAGAGTGTGAGATGTGCAAATGATGCTATCAGGAGCTATATGCTGTCTTGCTGCAGAGACTTGAGTTCAGTCTCTTATCTAAGTGACTGCAAGGGCCTTAAGAAATAGAAGAGAAATGTTAATTGTTTCTCAGGTCAATGTCTTTGCATTAAAAAATGCCAGCATGTTCAAGATTGCTTGAAATGTTCTTCCTAATGCTGCTTGACTGAGCTGGTTTGCAATCTACAGTCATAAGGCCAGTTCAGCCCAATTTCAAATCTTAATTTTTTTTCCACCATCTCTTCCTGTTATTTTGTTATTTCTTTCCTCCTAATCCCTCCTTCCTTGCATCCCTCATTCTCCAAATGCACTAGCATTGCTTTTCTCCCAGATGACTCTTTTCTATTAGCCTTTGGATAAATCCTTTTTTTGTCAGAAAACAATGTGACATACAGGACAAACTCTATTGCTGAAGGTGCTGTGAGTTGTAAACTGAAATCTACTCTAAATTCAAGAGTTCTTAAGTATGGGGGAAGACTGTAATAAAACACCTGTTTGCTGACTTAGAAATTACGGGTGTTTTGAATTCTTGTAATTCCTGACACTTTAAAACAGGTGACACAGTAGCTCTGGAGCTTTTTCCACCTGTCCCTCTTCTCTCTGCCTGGTGTGTGCAGGTTTGGAGGCTCACAGGTTGGATCACTAGCTCTGGATGCATCCTAGGATTTGTGAACTGCCACCTGGAAGCAATACAAGAATAGAAACCATTTGATTGTAGCTTCAATAGAAGCTCTGATGGCTGCTGAGAAATATGTCACTTTATTACATATCTCAGACCAGTTTTTTTATGCTGAGATTTTTATTTCTTTCTTTCCACAGGTTGTGTATTATCCTGAGCAATGGCCCCCTTTTTACGGATATCTTTCAACTCGTTTGAGCTGGGACCTGTGCAGAATCAAGGAGAGCAACTACAGCCTTTCTGTGCTATCAAGATGAAGGAAGCTCTGACTACAGGTGAGGTTGCAAATGGGGATGCTTTTCTGAATATTAGTTAATTTTTGAGAAATACTGTAATCCTCCTTAATCTGTGAATGGCAGTGAGTTCTTCTCTTCCTGTCATGCCAAGCACTTCAATGTGAGCCTTCCTTTTGGAATGGGAGAAATAATAATGACTGTTTTCTCTACCCCCACCTTAAAGCAAAGCTTCCTTATTGGGAAACTGGGAGCTGGACTGCAGCAAGTTTGAGAGAGCTGTCACAGAGCAGCAAATGCTCTTCATTGGCTTGGAGGATGGGTAATGATGAGAGGTGCAGTTTGTTATTTTGGGTGAATTGTTTTTGAAGTGACTCACACTGAAGGTCCTCTTAGCACAGAAACACAGAATGAGCTGTGCTGGAAGGGACCCTCAAAGATCACTGAGTCCAGCTCCTGGCCCTGCATGGGACCATCCCCAAAAGTCACACCCTGTGCCTGACAGAGCTGTCCAAATGCTCCTGGAGCTCTGTCAACCTCAGGGCTGTAACCATTCCCTGGTCCCTTCAGTGCCCCACCAGCCTCTGGGAGGAACCTTTATCTAATATCCAACCTGAACCTGCCCTGACACAGCTTCAGGCCATTCCCTTAGGTTCTGTCACTGTCACCAAAGAGCTGAGATCAGTGCCTGCCCCTCTTCTTCCTTTCATAAAGAAGTTATAACTGCAATGAGGTTTCCCCTCAGTCTTCTCCAACTGAACAGATCAAGTGACTCACCAGATCTCTTCTTAAAAGAAGATCTCTTCTTAACAGAAACTGGTCCAAAGGTTTATAATATTTTGTGACATTTGGCTAGATTACACCACTGTAGCCAAACAGGATGAGAAGGAATTGCTGTATTAGGCTAGACTGCAGCTCTCTAATCCTGCACTATGGCTCTAGAAATGCACAAACATCAAAGAATGCAGAAAAGGATGAAGTTTCTTCTTCCTCACAACATGATTGGTCTTTTACCTTATTGCTGAGGGTAAAAGCTGCATTTAGACTTGAAATACAAGGCAAAGTAACGTTTCCAGAATGCTTTGTCATCCAGCAAATGCACTTAGCTCCAAAGAAGTAGTTTCCTAATCTGCTGGGAGAAACCTCTGAAGAAATGGTGTTGGAGGTGTTGCAGCTGCCAGAAGATGTGGAGAAATGAAAGTAATCAAAATAAATCCACTGGGTTCTGTAAAAGCACTGGGTCTGCTTTTGAAAAGTAAAATTGTCCCAATATTTCCTAGTCTTTGTTTCCACGTGTCTTTGACGTACTGAAAAAGGCGGAGGAGATGGAACTCATTGGAGAAGTGAGTGATTTGAGTAATCAGGAAAATAATCTAATGCTCCTGTTGTGAGTTTGACAAGATCTGGAACAGCTTTTTATTGGATTTGAAAGGTAAAACAGAATCAAGGAAAAAATTATTGTATAGGAAGAAGAAAATCATAGAGCTTGATGATTAGGCATTGAGCCAGTTTGCAAACATGTGATGCGTTTTGAAGTCAAGAGTGCGAGCAGAGAAGCCAAGGAGGCCTGAGCACAGCAGAGGCAGGAACAGCTCTAGAAGGCTGTTCTTAGCTGACACTTCAGTTTTCATTTGCAGACAAGGGATTGTGATCCATGACAATCCTTGATTAGAATGATTTTAATTACAAAAACAGCATGGCTGTTTCCAGTAACTGAGACACCTTCTTTTTGTTTTTATGTAGGGTAAAAATGTATAGAGCTGATTGATCAAAGCAGATATGAACTGGGACATGGAAATAGGGTGGGGAGAGGCCTATGGACAGACTGGAATTATTCTTTCCCCTTCTAAGAATCTTACAAAGAATATTACCAACTCTTTACAAACTGCTGCTGTTTCTGCAAGCCCTAAATTACTGTAAAAGGTTCAGAAAATATGCAATTTTTCCTATTGCCAAGGATGCCTCCTGAACTGTGACTTTTTGATGAAGGGGTCTGGCTTTAGCAATCCAAAATGCAGGCCAGTGTAAAAGCCTTGCTGTGCAGCCAGCCTGCATTTTATCCCCCTCCTCACCTTTATAGTCTGTCCTACTAATCTCTTAGTAAATGTGTAGGTGTGGAACTTGGGGACATGGTTTAATGATGGTCTTAGTGGTGGTGGGTTAGTGGTTGGACTTGATCTTAAAGGTCTTTTTCAACCTAAACAATTCAGTGATTCTATGACAATATTTTCAAGTTTTTTTCATTGAACAGGGCTCTGCAAGTAGGTTTGCACTGTGAAGGGCTTGAGCCTTCTGCACAGTTCCCCAAATTCAAGAGAAAAGCTTTTGACTGAGTAGAGGAGGAATGCTCAAGTTTTGGAATGGAGAGGCCCTCAGGTGGCCATTTCTGAGCATTTTGGAATGTCCTTTGGCAAGTGGCTCAGGGCTGTGTCCAAGCTGTAACTCCCAGTGCTGCTGCTGGCAGACATTCCCTAATAAAGCAGTGCAAGGACATCATTCCCTGTGCTTGTCTGCAGCACAGCTGAGAGGAGTGCATCCAGCAAGCTCTTAAGGAATGAAGACTGAATTTTTTTGCCTTGAATTTCCAGGAAGATTTTAAAATATTAAATATCTAACAGACCACACTGCAGCTTCCTGGGGAGGGGTCCAACTATTTAATCTGCTTTACTCCTGCCTTGATATCATAACAGAAAATGGATCATTCAGAGCTGGAGAGGTACTTAGGAATCACTCCTGTTGCAAACAAAAAGATCTCAATAAATAGCAGAAATTGTGTAGAATGTAGAAAATTGCATTCAGGGCACAGGGAGAATAATTGGCTTGGTAGCAAATCAGAAGAAAACTGGGAAGTGGCACTGTGTGCCAGAGTCACAGTGAAGAGCTGGATGTGGTTTCTTAGGAAGCACCATCACTTTGGATGTGTTGATGGGACTTAGAGACCCAGATGTTGAAATATGCCAAAGCTTGTCACAGATTGCGCAGTCACTGGGTGTTTTCTGTGCCCAAGATGTAGACAGGAAGAAATAAGTATAATGGGTAGAAAGAGAAACTGAAGCTGTGTATTAGAATCATAGAATACTAGGCTGGAAGGGACTTCAAGGATCATCCAGCTTTTCTTGGCAAAAAGGAAAAAAATCCATCTAATAAGAATAGTACAGCACTGTAAAACTCCTTACAAAACTGAGATGCTTTTAAAGGAAACCAGAGAAAAAATAAGGGGAAAAAAAGGACATTTTTTGAGGTAATTTTAGCTTTTTTTTATACCTTGACTACGCAAGGTCTGCATGTACTACAGAGGGCAGATAATGCCCTGAAATACCTTTTAAAAAGTAGCAGTCATGGTAGAGCACAATGCCAAGGAGAGTGACTTATGAATACAAGTGAAATGTTGGGGTAACTTGGAAGTAGATTAATGAAATGTGAAACCTTTCATCTCTCAGACACTGGTTTCAATTTAAACTGGGTCAGTGTGAGGTTTATCTTAATTTATCTTATAGCAGTAGGTATTCACCATGATCAGATGACACTTCATGGAGATTTATACCAGAATGGAGCCATGCAAGTATTCCCTGTCAAGTTGTGACTGACTAAACCAGCTTATGAATTCCACATCAGGGTTTGTCCCTCCTGCTCTTCAGCTCCATGTTAACCCCTTCACTGCCTTTCCAAGTTCATTGGGGTGGGCTTTGCCAAGAAAAAAAAGTTCTCTGTCAAGAACTTTTGAACTGAGCATTTAAACCTTGTTCCAACAACAGTAAAAGAAGCAATAAATATGCTTTTAGTTTCAGTATAAGTGTTCCCTCTTTTATTTTGTTGAGTTTAAATATTAGATCTGTATACATTTTACAGATTCGGTTCTTTTCTTTTGTGGCTTTCAGAGAGAGGAAAAACTTTAGTTCAGAAGAAACCCACCATGTATCCTGAATGGAAATCGACTTTTGATGCCCACATTTACGAGGGCCGGGTGATCCAGATAGTGCTGATGAAAGCAGCAGAGGAGCCACTGTCTGAAGTGACTGTGGGGGTGTCTGTGCTGGCAGAACGGTGCAAGAAAGGCAATGGCAAAGCAGAGTTCTGGGTAAGGAAAAAGATTAATTCCTCAAATTGCTGACCTAGTTTTGTTTCTTTCAAGCTGAATGAATGCCTTGTGTCTTTTAGGCTTACAGATTTTCCGTGGTCAGTAGAATCTCTCTAGTTTGTATTCACCTGTTACACTTGGGGGTTTTTTTCACACCTTGATTTCTAAGGTGTGAAATTATTGAGAAAAGTAAAAGCTAATAGTGATCAATTTTAGCCAGTTCAGTGGTCTCAAATCCTCTGCTTGTTATCCATAGAACAGGTACCACATTGACATCATCAGTGTTAAACTCTGTACAACCTGACATGTCTTGGACAGAGCATCATGGCCAGCAAAGAGACCACTTAGCATAGCCTGTAAGGTTATTTTTGTGTGTGAAGAGACAGCCTGGCATTCATAGCTGTAACTGAGGTCTTGGCCTTCAGTAAACTTTGCTGGGCAAATGTTCTGAGTGTCAGATGCTGCCTTAGAGTTGAACTCGCTCATTATCCCAGTAGGATGATGGGATTTGTGGTGATATGTTCACGAGTGTATCTAATGTAACTGTGGTTTGGTTTTGTCTGGGGATTGGATTTTTCATCCCAAGTTGTATTTAGTGTAACCCAGTGGTACTTTGCTCTGTGCTGAAGTGAAGGTTGAGTCACTCTTACGTGGTTAAGATTTTCTTATCTTTTATGAAGGCAGCAGTTTAAGAATTAGTGGCTACTTTCTGAGTATAGGAACTGACCTCAGCTGTTGGCTTAAAAGGCACTTTTTTTTTTTTGCTGGTCTGTAGAATTTGCCACAGAAACCATGTGTAATGGTTTTGAGGATGAAAGGAAAATAAATTTTGATTATACCACTTTATTTCATTGCCAGCAACAGTATTTGATATCACTATGGTTTGTACTCTGAATAAACATATAAAGGATTGTATAGACTTCTTTTAAAACTGGGTTCCTGTGCAGATTGAGTTTACTAATAGTAAAAACAGAAGCCAGCAAACTTCTTTGTAGACACGGGAAAGGGACGTGAACAAACAATGTGAACTCTGACCATGCTCAGCTCCTGGGGACACATCAAAGCAATGCAGCACACGAGTAAAAGCAAGAGAATAAAAGCCCCTGACTCAGCTGCAATAGTGAGATATGGAAGAGGATTGTAATCAAATAGTTATTGAATAGTCTACACTTTGATACCCTAGAAAGATCTGTTTAAATTCCTGAGAGATGCAGTCAACCACACGTTTCACTGTTGCTATCTTTCTTTCCACAGCTTGACCTTCAGCCTCAGGGGAAGGTGCTGATGGCTGTGCAGTATTTTTTGGAAGATGCAGGTAAAGTCAACTGTTTGTTTTCAGTTATGAGAAAAAAGGTTTGTTTACAGTACACTACATGTAGCTTACAAAAAATATATCACCTGGTATGCTGAGTAGAATCTTACTAAATTAATTTTATTCATTTGCTTTCTGGTTTTTGGGTTTGGTTTTTTTTTTAATTATGCAGACTCATGGCAGGATTTGTTCATTTCTAAATACTGTTGCATTTAGGCACTTTTGGATCTTTATTATGTCTGTTCTCATATCTTGATGTTATATTAATCTATCATTAATATATAATATGCTAATATTATCTATTCCTTTTTAGGTGCAAACAAGTTTAATCTCTTTCTCTACCTTATGTGGGAAACTTTTTTTGTGGATTGGAGAAGTGGGTCTGAGTTTCCTGGGATTCAGACATCCTATTCACTACACTACAGAAACTGATTGTAGCAATGAGTGAATGGTTTAGTGTTAAAATGCAAATCTAGTCAATGATCTGACCTACCAGTTTAAAAAGTGAACAGCCTGTCTGTGTCAGAAACCTTAACAGGCTCTTTGGAAATGAGCTAGGAGGGAAGCTTCAAGCGCAATAATAAAACCAAGAATTTTGGCATGGATTTGTGTATGTGGGGAGTCCTTTCCTAAAGGAAATGCTGTAAACCTCACAACTTGCTCAGCTTGTAGTTAAGACTTTCCCATACTAGAAGTCATGAAACCATTATTTCTTGGGAATAATATTGTAATTATAATATAACTGCTCTGACAGACCTGGCCTACCAGTCTTATAAGGTTTAATAGTATGTGTTCATAAATAACTGAAAAGACTAAGCAGGAAGTTTTAGGTGGTTAGATTTTTTCCACCAGACATTTATAGAGGGAGCACAGTTCTGCTCTCTAGAACAGGGTCATTGGGAAGTACCATACATTTTTGTACCATCTGTGCAGAAGATAGAATGTGATGTGCATAGGTTACATTTCAGAAATGATGTTTTATCTTTGTGATGACAAAAAAAACAGCCTATATACCTGTTGCTTTGGTGTCTATGAAAAGTCAACACTTTAAAGCAAAATTCAAAAACTGCTGTGACTTGAAATAGAGGCTGTAAGTGAGAGCTTTTCTCAGGTGTGCTTAAACTGGTGTGAGCCATTATATTACAAAATATTATTCTTGGTCTTTGCAATAGTTTCTTGCACAAGGCTGTTTCATGGGGAAATGGTACTATGGTCATATATATTTAATGAGATATATAGAAATCCATTTCTCCTGGACATCCAGAAGTTTCTCAAGCAAATCTGTGCAAACCCAGTTTCTGTATTTTCAGTTGTTTATTTAATGAGGCTGAAGCATATTTTCTCCTCTCCACACAGATGTGGAAAAGTACAGATAGCATAAGTGAAAACCTTTCTTAATTTATTATTAGTTGTTAGTAGGAAGGTAATATACTTGTGTGCTGAAAGTACTAAATTAATTTTACTCAGTAATCAAAATAACTTAAAAATAGATCCAATGTTCTTGCAGTTCTTTTCATTGCCTTTATTAGGGATTGCAGATGGTGCTGGATGAAGCCTAAATACCAAATGATCATTAAGTCATGTATTTTTATTCTAACTGGCAAGTTAATATTCACATCTTAATGCACTTTCTTGACCTTCTACTTGGCAATGACTTCCTATTTACCTTCTATTTTATATGAAATTAGTCACTGATACATTTTTGGTAACTAAACACAGAGGTGGTAGAAATTGCTGTTCAAGACATTTATACATTACATTTTGTGAAGGAAAGTCACTCAATCTGGTATTTTAATGTGAACACTGCAAATATCAATACATTTTAACAAAACTACTCCTCCTCAAGGTTGTAAACCTCCCTTATGTCAGTGTGTAATGCTGCTAAATAGGCAAACACTGATTGTTGGCTCATCATTGTGCTGCTGTAAATGTTCTCTGCAGTTAAATTAGCACTTACCAATGTGAGAGCAGAGAGGTTTGCTGGTGCACTGCAAGATGTTTGTGTAACATCCATTCCCCACACTGCTGAAACCCTCAGTTAACAGCTGAAAGCTCAGAGACAGTTCACATTCCTTCCTATGCACTTGTCATTTTGTTCTCCCTCTGACCTGCCTTTGCACACAGAACTCTGGTAGCTGTGTTTCTAAAATACTAAAAAAGGCTTGTTCTGAAACTGGTATTTCAGTTGTTCCCTGGTTTATTCCTTGCCATTTGTATCTTTGAGTTATAGGTGCTACCTTTTGTTTGAAAATCTCCAAGCACTTCACAAAAGAGACTAATTCTTTCTTTGGCTTGTTTTGAAAACTGAGGCTGCTGTTTTTCAAACCTTTCTTTTAAGTAAAAAACATTCTGCTACCTTTAGAGAAAACTGCTTTCCTCTGCTGCAGTGGTGCAGAGCAGAAAAATCAGAATGTTATTGCTCCATTAACAGGTATATCCTTAGAGGGAAAAAAAAATCACAAAATAAGCTGGTATTAATGGTTCTTCCATGGTAGACTACACTGAGACTTTTCATTTGAATATTCTTTTTCCAGATTGAGGCTTGAGACCTGACCAATTAATTTAGTGCTGCATATGAAAAGTCTTACCAGTCTTAAAGGTTTTTTTTCTTCCTAGACCCTATAAAATGGGGACTGCAGAGCCCTGCCTTAGAGTTGTCAAAGAACTTTTTTGTCTTCTGTCCTGTAATTTGAATATGAGCTTGTGCTGGAAGTTCAAAAGCTTTTCTCCTCGTGTGTGAAATGTGAGAACATGGTGTTAACCTCAATTTTCATTTTGAAATTGTTTTCCTTCTACCCCTTCTTCTTTCGTTCTGGTATTGAAACTAGGTTGCAATTCTGTAAAGCAGCTTTAGTTTTAATAGGTGGGAATTGAAATACGTTTAATGCTTTGCTTGATCTTTGTTTATTCGAACATGGTTAATGACCTCCTTGAGTAAGAAAACGCAGAACCTCACTCTCCTGAGTGTGTCGTGCAGTGTTAGCAGCTTTGGGAGTGTGCTTGTGTCTTGGGTTTGAATTCTGAATTGCTGTTTTGCTGGCTACAGCTTCCTGCAGAAAGGGACAGTGAATTTTTTCCTTAAAATGCCATTAGAAGTACCAGAAGGTGAGTAATCTGCATGTGAACTTTTGCTATCTCAAGTGTCTGACTTCTGGGAGAGGGACATGAACCAGAGAACTGAATATATTTTGAATATGTTGCTCTCTGTGTGTTGAATGTTGGGGAAGCAAGAGACTTCAACATTTTTCTGAGTTATCTGTGAAAAATAATACAGTAAACAACAGATTTGCCATTTCAATGTGTATATTGTATGGGCCTGAAGTAAGATTTGAAGGAAGTATCTCTGTGGATGAGGTGTGTTGTGGCAGGATAGTCACATTTTTAATGAATAATAGTGATGAGGGCTGAAGAGCCAGAAATGAACCTTATAATTGTACATGGGGATGTTGGTATGATTTAATCATTTAACTGAGAAAATGCTGTTTCTAGAAATTTGGCTAATGTGGAAGTTGTTCAGTGGCACCTCATGTCTGCTTTAATCTGCACCAGAAGTGAGATTGCATGAATTTAACAAGGCTTCATATTCTGATTTTTCTCTAGGAGAATCAGACAGTTGCAGATGTGATTTCATAGATACCAGGCTGGTGTGTCTGTGGTTCCCCAGGTAGTTAATATGTTGTGTGGAGCACAGAAAATCTGATATAGTTGGTACCTTCAGTAGGAGTTTGATTGAGATGCTGTATCTTTAAAGGTTGGTTTTACTGTCTAATTTGAAAAAGAAAAAAAAATACTTATTTTCCAGTTTATTCCTGGTTTTATCACCACAAATGAGATACCAGAGGTCTCTGAAGAAGCATTTGCCAAGCTGTAAAAAACACTACAAAGTCTGCCATGTGCTTGGTTTGGGGGGGGTTTAATCCTGGTTTGAAAAGCAGGGCTTGTTAAAGCTGGTGTTTGTTTTACACTTAGTTCAAGGCCAGGCTGGATGGGGCTCTGAGCAGCCTGGTCTACTGAAGTTACCCCTGCCTGTGGCAAACATTGGAACTGAATGCTCTGACCCAAACCTGTGAGCCTCTTTAGAGGGGTAGCACACAGACCAGAATGATTTAATGCACGTTCATGCCACAGAACTGAATGCTTTTGGGAAACTTCTGTAAATGGTTTCTTGGGGTTTTGGGTTTGGTTAGGTTTTTTTTAACAGGTGATCTTTAAAACAATATTCTCCAGGACCAGGTTGAAGAGCAGTTTGCCTCTGAGACAGTTCATGCTGGGAAAATCTCCTTTGTCAGGAACAAGCTTATCCTTTTAATGATTCCTCTGAGAGATTAATATTTTTCTTGACCTGAAGATGCACTTAACTTTCAAACAAAGCCAAGTGCAAGGCTGCAGAACAGCAGGAGGAGACAGACACTGAACAGAAATGTTAGTGGCGTTTGTAATTTATTATAAAGTTTCAGGCAAATCTCAGCCTGTGCAACCAGCTCAGAAAATTCCTTTCCTTTGCCTGTTTGAAGTGAAGTTCTGGTTCCCAGTCTCTGACAGTAGCATTGTTATCTTCCCTTTTCACAAACAGCACCATGAAATGAGCAGGTTAAAATTAAAAATGAGCTCTGAGGATGGTAAATATTTTTTCAATTCTTTATTTTTTTAAAAAAAAAAAGTAGGGTTATCCTGTTTTCTTCTGTCCTTGGACTTTTGAGGTTCAGTTGAGAAAATGTGACATCTCACCTTGACATTTATTACAGCTCAGCAGAGCCCCAGCAATATTATTTTAGTAAATGTTTTCCAGGCAATGGGCTGGGTGTTGTGTGTCTGTGGGGACAGTGAAATGCTCAGCAGGACGGGCACTGCAGCTGAACAGAGAATACAGGGGGTGTTTACAGCAGTCTGGAGAGCTGCACTGTCAATTCACAGCCCTGCTTCATGGATTCTTCATGAATGTACAGCACAGAGTTCTGGGTGTCTGTGTCAGATCAGCTGCAAGTTTTGAGAAGAGACCTTGAAATACATGAATGTGTCAGTGATAAATATTAACCACAGCTCTCAACAGAGGAAATAGATTATGTTTAATGGTGTGTGTTGCGTCGAAAATGATTAATGTCAAGTCCTGGCTGCAGAGGTCACCTGGATCCTGGTTGCTGATTCAGCTGTTCTGTGCTTGCTCTTTCTGACCATGTACTGGTTCATGACAAGCATTTAATTTATGGGAACCCTGACTTGCTTGGAGGGGGAAGCAAAGTTTTCCCTTTGTGTTTCTCCATCCCACTCATCTCCACCCTGCGTCCATACAGTTATTGTGAAAGTTACTTCCCTGCAATTGTTGATTATCTCTGCATCTCTGAAATTAAGCCTTTATTCTCCAGTTAATTCCATGATTGGCTGAGCTGCTTAAAACTTTTGGAGCAATACACATTAAAGGCAATTTACACATTAAAGATAACTTGTTAAACATGCCCATAGTAAATTGAAATTATGCCACAATTTCCGAGCTACCTCAGCTCCAGATGAGCTTGACTAACAGCTGCTCTCCAAACCTCTCAGCTGCTTCTGAACCAGACAAAAATGTTTTCAGCTATTCTTTGTTATATTGGTTGGTTTTGGCAAAGGCATCTAACAAGACAGCTGAGTTCTTAAGTGTGTGTGTCCTCACATGCAGATTTTGAGGTTTTGCTGTGCTCAAGGATTCTTCCCCATTAAAGTATACTTAAGGAAAATGTGAAAAAAAAAGCGGAAAAAACCCCAAAGTGATCAGTTTATATAATTACTGTCTCAAGGAAATAATTGTCAGTCTCACATATTTCTCTTAAGTTTGATACCAGGGTTTCAGAGAGGGAGGAAACGCTGGTGTTTCCCATAAATTGCTCAAGTTCTGTCAGAAACTTCTGCACGCAGTATCAGCAATACTAAATTGCTCCAAGTATTTCAGTGTGAGGTTTGTTCCTCACTAAACACTTGGTTTGCTTGTGTTACGGACTTCAGAAAGGCTTTTCTCTGGTAATTTGCTGCATCACAGGTGATCTCAGAATATTGCCATAAAATAAAAGGCCTTTCTCTGCTTTTTGCTGTTACTGATTAAATCTCGCTTACAAAGACATCCTTTACAGCAGCAAACAATATGAAATATTGTTTCCTCTCAAGCACTTTGCTTCCCTTGCACCACACAAGTGTGGTTTCCCTGAAGCATTTGGGGAGCAGTGGGTGAGGTCTGTGTGTTTGCTCAGCACGATTAAGCAGAGATAGCACAGTTTGCAGACTGCTACAAGCTGAAGTGCAGCAGCTGATGAGTTTGTGTGGGGTGAATTCAGCAGACTGTTTGAACAAGGAAAACAAATCCTGTTCCTGGAGGGGTAGGGGTAACTGAGGGACTGTCACAGTGCACGCTGGAAGGTCCTTTCAGGGACTGTCAGGATGGGTTTTTGCTGAACCAGGTAGTCAATTTCTCAGAAAAGTACATTAATACCTAGTGGCAAAACCTGGAGACATTTTTTAAACTTTCTTTTCACTAATATGCTTAATCTTTCCTTAATCTCTGAGCTAATGATGCCATTTCTTTTCTAAGACAGCACACAGCTGCTACAGTGTGGCTGCTGCTGGCTGTGACAGATAAATAAGTTTAGGACTCTCAGAATTGTGTCTCACGACAGATTGTATTCCAGGTTCAGCAGTCTGTTGGAATAGCAGTGGTGGCAGCCAGGTGAAAAAAAAAGAGAAGAACCAAGTGCATCTAGCAGCCAGAAAACCTGAGCTCCTGAGTAATTTTGTAGTAAGCTCAGACACTGCAGTGAGTGGCAAAGGAAACAAATCTGCTTCTGTCAGCGCTAAAAGCAAGTCTCCCACTGATCATGATAAAAGGCAGCAATGCAACAGAGCAAATTTTAAAAAACTATTATATTGACAATGGGGAAAATGCTCTTCTGACTTTTTTCCTTACTCCTGTGGAAATTCCCAGCCTGCAAACAGCAAGATCCTGTTGCACTCAGCCTTTCAGCACTTTGGAGATGTGAACCATGTCCAGGTTTCTTCCAGGCTGGCACCCACAAGCTGCTGGCCAGAGCTGATGGAGTTAGCAGTTGATCAGCTCCTCTTTGCCATCTCAAGCCTTTATCTTTTCCTGCTGGATGGGATTTCAGCAATCCCTTTCAGTTGACAAGAAAGGTGTTTTTGGGTTAAATCACCAGTTTCTCGATACCCCCTGCACTGAGTTACCTCTGGTACAAACCCCTATGACTTTAAAAATGCCCAATTAAGACTAAATAGTCAGAGTTTGTGTCTCAGTCTTACAACCACAAACACACATTTTTGTAAAAGAAACTCAGAAGCTTCCTTGGAAATGAGTGAAAATAATCAGAACCTCTAATGAGGATCTGTATGAGCCAGTTGGACTTGGAGCCTGAGAATTTGTTTCTTGTTTTATTTCTTGGCTTGATGCTACACTTGATTTCTATATGATCCAGTATTAGATGCTACAGTAGATGGGAGCAGGTAGTATTATTATAATACTAAATATTCCATGGGGATAGATGGGAAAGGAAGGAGACTGAGACTTGTGGGAAGATAAAATATGATTGTTATGAAACAGCAAAATGGAAATGTCTAACTGAAAATCTCATTTGTCCTTGCTGCTTAATGATCCTGGAGGCTGGAAGAAAGTCATCTTCCCGTAGGATGGTGCTGTGGTCACCCAGAAGGTCCTGCAGCAGCTCATCTGAATTTCTGCTGTAGTCCTGGTTCAGGAGGGCATGTGGAGCAGCAGCATGGAAAGGCTTCTGCTGACCCTCCTGCTTCCAATAAAATACTTACTCATAGTAAACATAAATCACATAACAGCAATCATAGATTTATTTTTTTCTAGAAACAAGGGTGGTTATCACTTCTCTATCAAAACTATGCTCCATCCCTGCTTTTTGCTCTCAGTTCATTAGCTGAAGGCTTTTTCTGCATGGGCAGGAGTGGGAATGGCTTGTACAGGAGCACAGGGACACCTTGGGAAGCAGTGTGTGCACCTGTACCTGCCCTGCTGGACTGAAAGTCTGCACAATGCAGGTGTAAAATGAACAGAAACACGAGTCAGAAAAACAAACTGAACATTTGGGAGAAGCAAATATTAACCTTTGTAATACCTGGAAGTATTAACAGTATGTCTTGCTGTGTCCCCCTCAGACTGCAGACAGTCGATGAAGGAAGAGGAGGGGACAGTAACTATCAACAGGAGAGGAGCTATCAAGCAAGCCAAAATCCACTACATCAAAAATCATGAATTTATCGCCACCTTCTTTGGACAACCTACATTTTGCTCTGTCTGCAGAGACTTTGTATGGTAAGAAAGAAAATCTAAGCCTCCCCCAGCTCCAAGGGCCAAATTACTGCAAAATTTGCTTTGGATATACATTCAGACAAAACATGACAAATAAATTTGTGTTGGGAAATTGAAGTTATATACTCACTAAGAGCATTTTTATACATAAGAACTATAGTTGTCTTTCACATTGAGAAATAGAGCTTGAACATTTTTGCCACTGAAATAATAGGCAGAAATTCCATCAGCATCGAGTGATACCTGGCCATGATCATCAGCAGCTCTGTCACAGGGGAATGAGGGCAGTGGTCTGGGAAAATAATGCCCAGGTTTTGAGATGTGAAGTGATTAATGGCACATGTGAAGTGATTAAGAGACCCATAGAGAGCCAGAAGTTGGATCCCTTTCATAGTAAGGCTGGTTCTGTCCTAATTAGGTTGGGAGGATTTCCCATGTTATTGAAACCTTGTTTCTGGGTTTTCCTCCTAATTTGGTCTAACAAACACAGGACCTTGTCTTCTAAACTCTGCTTTCCTGAGACAGAGGATTCTGATTACCAGAATTTAGGCCAGTTTACTGGTTGGTTGACATGATTAAAATAAAATAAAAACCAGCCATCTTTAATTCCAGAAAATGTATTGATTTCCTTTTTTATAATTTGTTTTTCAGGGGACTCAACAAGCAGGGATACAAATGTAGACGTAAGTTGATTTTTTTTTTTTTTTTTTACTTATGCTGCTTTCCACATGGATCTGGAGAACTAATAGTTACTCTTGAAATAAAATATATAAATATGCATGGCACAATGCATCATCACTATGGGTAGTAGCAGATGTTAAATATCAACTTTGCACAATAACCAAAGGAATCTGACTCTGATTCCTACCTGGGATTTCAGTATCAAGATTTAGACTTAGCTATTCTTCTCAGAAGTGTGCAATGCTGTTGAAAAGTTGCACTCATTTATGACAGCTGGTTTTTGTGAAACCTTTTCTAAAGTGAATTACAACTGCTGAGGGGTTTTACAGCTGAATTGAAAATCACTTTTGACTTGGCATAGATCTGTGCATTACTCCAAGCAGGGAGGAGCTGTCAAAGGGTAAAACTCAAAAGCATAATATTGTCCTTCTGTTATGAAATGCCAGGGGCATTGCTGATTCAGCTTAGAAATAAAGTTTATGGTAAAAGAAAAGGGGTGGGGGAATCAGCTTAAAAAATATTACCTTGATAGAAAATAAACTTCTGGTGTATGTAATATGATGCAAAAGGAGTGTGATTTTCACATTCTGCCATTAAATGCAAACACCTTATCCCATGTATTTATTATCTGAAGGTATCTTTTTTTTTTCCTTGTGCATGTCTTGAAGAATGCAATGCTGCTATTCATAAGAAATGCATTGATAAAATCATCGGGAGGTGTACTGGTACTGCAGCCAACAGCAGGGATACAATGGTAAGAACTGGAACAATATATTTAGAGTGTAATTGCATAATGAAACATTGCTGAACTAACAAAACCTTGTACAGAAGCTGACAACTCCATTTTGGGAGATGCTTGGCTGTACAACCCAAGGTTGTGTCTTTGTTTAAAGTTGTGTAAAGTTCTGTAACACGCAGTGGGCAAAGCTTTCAAGTAAGAAAAGCAGCTGAAAGCTCTGTGAGGGGTGGGTGCTGTGTGGGGGGCAGCATCTCCCTGCTGGGGGAGGGAGGCAAGGCTGAGATGAAATCGTTGTGGCTGTGCTCAGTTCCAGAAGGAGAGGTTCAACATCGACATGCCCCACCGCTTCCGAGTCTACAACTACATGAGCCCCACCTTCTGTGACCACTGTGGCAGCCTGCTCTGGGGGCTGGTCAAGCAAGGGCTCAAGTGTGAAGGTGAGGAGGAGGAGGGAGCTGGCAGCTCTCTGTGCTTTTCCAGTGCTCCCTGCACTGGAGACTGCTATTGGTGCACACTGTGCCTTTCCGTGAGTATCGTGTAGGGTGGGATTCATCTCGTCCATAGCAGGTAAGATGGCTTTTGTACAAAAGAGAGACAGAGGCACTGGGCTCATGGGACAGCTCAGCCAAGGTGAGCCACTGAGGGAGTCAGGAAACACTGCAGAGGTGTAATCTCTAGCATTATCAAAATTACTGCTCTGGGAATAGTGGGAATTTGGTGACTGACTCAACATAGCATCTCAAAGTGTGTTCAAAGCATTTACTGTAAATATTGTTTTTATTATTCTCCCACAAAAAGGCAAGATCACACTTATCATGGATTCTAGAATAATCACAATAATTTTAGAATAAAGTAATGATGATTGGAGGTTTTTTACTTCTGAAACCTTTTTTTGGCCTTCATTGTGTTAAAGGACAAAAACTGCAATTTTGGTAGCAATGACAGGTCCGTGTCCAGTCTGGCCTTAAAAAAGGGGTTTCTGAACTGCACAGAACAGCTCTGTGTCTTGTAATATCAGTATTTTCCTGATGCTTTTATAACAATCCTTACATTTCCCTTAGAATGTGGGATGAATGTGCATCATAAATGCCAGAAGAAGGTGGCAAACTTATGTGGAATAAACCAGAAGTTGCTAGCTGAAGCTTTAAATCAAGTTAGCCAGGTAAGCTTTATTGCCATTTCTCAGGTAATTACTTGTTTTCAGAGCATTTCACTCCATCTTTTCTGCATCACTTTTATGGGGAACTGTGTTTGGAAAAGAGGAAATGCAAACAGCTTTGTCTTTTTTAATTTGACACATGCCTTTGTTAGTCTCTGTATCAGCAGCCTGAAACTGAAATAGAGAAGGGGGTTTGCCACTTAAACAATTTTTAAAAAGGTGTGTGGCTTGCTGAAATAAAATTTTGTTCTTCTGTGGTGCTAAGATTATTCTGTCCCTTTCTGTTTAATGGATTAAACAGTGGCATCTGAAATCTGCTTTTACATGCTTCAACTTTAAAATTCCACTTGAATGATAAAATTAAGTGAATAAGGAGAAATATACCAGATAGTCCCATTTTTTATTCATCTAATATATATATATATACATATATATATATATACATATATATATATATATATACACACACAAACACACATATATACATAAAGAAAGCCCCTCTGAAATTAATGCTGGCCCTATAGCTTGCATTGTTAATCTCCTGCTGCAGCATGATTCTTTTGTGGTCAGCTTCTGCAAATAAAGATTCAGACACAAGCTCTGAAATAAAACAGGAAAATATATCACAAAAGCCAACTGCTTCCTCTGAGATGTGTATTCCTAAGCTTTCACAGGATATTTACTTTGAAAACAGTGAGCTGTTGTGGCCACTCTTTTATGACACTGGAGCTCAATTTTTTTCATTACTGAAATTTGATCTCAGGCATTTTCCATATGTAAAAGTTGTTTCCCTGTGCTAAGGACAGATGTCACATTCAGATATGACTTCAGCATGTCCAGTAAAACAGCGATTCCCATCTCCTTTTTCATGTGGACAGACATCCAAGGGGATGCTTTCCCACAGTTCAAATTCTTTCCACTGTGGATTCAAACCATTAGACCTTTAATAATTTTGCAATGACCAATACAACATAGGCTGTTCAGAAATTTCATGACTTATTTTCTTGCAGGAATTAAAGCTAATGGCTGATGTGAAGCTGTAAAGGTGACTAAATAGTCTATGAACCAGACTTCTTGAGAAAAGATATTTACTGGGAGTTAATAGTTGAAAGTTTAGCTGCCATCATATTACATTTAAAGCTCATACTCTATTACTAAAGTAACACCACTAATATAATGTCATATATTCCCCTTCTTCCCAGAAATCTACACGAAGGTCTGATTCTGGATCTGTAGAAAGTGTTGGTATTTATCAAGATTTTGATAAGAAACATAAAGCTCCAGGAGGAGACACAACAGGTGAGAAAGCAGATGATGTTTCAATACAGCCACTTACCTACCAGACAATTTAAGTTATTCGTTCTTGCCTTGTGTTAGACAATTCATTAAATAAATGCTGCTAAAAAAGTCAGGATGTATTTCTCTTTACCATCTCCTGGCCACACGAAATGCTTACACAAGACTTGTCCCTTATGTTTATGTTCACCAGTAATTCCAGCAGCAGATACACTGAAAAAGCCCTGTCAGTACCTAATTCTTATCCAGGGCTCTGAGTCCTGCAGTGTTTCTGCATCCACTGAACTTTCCCCTCCCTGTTTTGACCAGGAGACAACAGCGAGTACGATAAGCTCTGGGAGGTAAACACAACCAAGCCAGTGCCGAGAGCTGCGAGGAGAAAATTCAACATAGACAGCTTTGTCTTCCACAAAGTGCTGGGGAAAGGCAGCTTTGGCAAGGTATGTGACAAACTGAGAGCTAAGGTGTCTGCCTCACTTGATCTCTGCAATGTGATGGGCTCTTTCCATAAGCAGAAAGGTCTCACAGCTTCTTGGGTCAGTAATCTTCTAACAGAATTGTACATAGACAGCTTTGTCAAAGGCACTAGAAATTCATCAGCTGGATCTCATGTAAACCCAAAAATGATTCATCGTGCACAGCAGTTTGTCAGTGTTTAGTATTGGGGCAGAGGAATTGCCCTTTAATGCACCCAGTGCAAATGGATATTCTAGTTCTGTTCTCTCCACACAGAAGCATCCCCAGTGCAGTGGCAGGGGATGTTTGGGAGAGCAGTGGGCCCCCCACGGGCTCTGTCCACTGCTGTCTCTGAAACTGCAGCTCTTGTGACAGACCAGGCTTTGCATGCCTGCTGTTTAAACTCTCACACAAGACATGGACAGAAAAACTGCTGTGCCTGTGGTACCCCATCTCATCTGTGTCCAGCAGCTTCACCTTCCCAACCCTCCCTCATCTTTCTCATTTAAATGTTTTGTAATTGTCAGTGCACCTGCTGTGAACACCTTTGGCTTTCCCTCACTGGTACATCAGCACCACTCTTTCCTACACATGCTCTACTCTCATCTTTTATTTTTTGTAGGTTCTGCTTGCTGAGCTGAAAGGGAAGAATGAATTCTTTGCTATCAAAGCTCTGAAAAAGGACGTGGTGTTAATTGATGATGACGTGGAATGTACCATGGTGGAAAAGAGGGTTCTCGCTCTTGCCTGGGAAAATCCATTTCTCACACATCTTTACTGCACATTTCAGACAAAGGTAAGAAAAATTTCAGTGGTGACAGCAACACAACAGATTGAGCCTTTTAATGGTGCTGATAGCAGCAGTCAAGTGAAAGTAATTGTGATGCAAGAATTAAATGTCTTTTTCCTGTGCTCTGTGCAATAATTTACGGGCCTAGTGGAAAGTAAGTATGAGTATGACCAAACATATCTTGATAAGGACAAAATAAAATCAGAAAAACATCTATGCAGCCTGGAACAAGAAGGAGTTTAAGTCCTTGATCTGAGCTTTGCACTTGGTGAGGGGAAAAGGATGACTGTCACAGATTGAAGTCAGGAAGTCTGCTTAAGTGTGTGTGAAGTCTAGAAACCCACAGAACACAAGATCAGATATTTATATTTACAAGACCAGGCCACTCAATTCTGTAGGAGCCACGTAGTGGTGCATGAAACCAAAAATCCTTCAGAAGAGGGAAATGGAAGCTTGGTGCCCTGGAGGCCCATTGCTACTTTTTCTGGTTGGATAGCATCAGTAATTGTTTCATTCCCTGGTTATCTTGCAAAAGGATCATTTGTTCTTCGTTATGGAGTTCCTGAATGGGGGAGACCTGATGTTCCACATCCAAGACAAGGGGCGTTTCGACCTCTACAGAGCAACGTGAGTCCTCGACCCCTCATTCCCCACCTCCAGGAATGATTTTATCTCGGGGTTTATGGCTTCTAGTTCAGTGCCCCTCCTTACCTGCAGTCAAGTTTCAGTGGCTGATGGTTGAAAAGATGTTTCTAGGTTGAATACAATGAAGTTCACTTAATGATCTGTGGAGCTGGGCTTTCTTAATTTACGTAACAGTGTGATGTTGTACTTTATGGGATGCTTGTTCCTAGAGGTGCAAAATAAACTGAAACATGAGCCAGCACTGAAAAGCACAAGGCACAGCTTCAATGTACTTTAGGAAAGTATTCTGATGGAAAACAGCATGGGGGGAGGAAGTTGAACACTTCCTGCTATTGCTAAATTGACATGATAATACAAAAAACTGTACATTCCATGAGATGCTAATTAAATGGGTAAGCACTTTGTTTAGTAAGTGCACTTGTGTCAATCATCTGTGACTCAAGTTTTCAGCTCCAGTGATCTTTAAAGGATACAAAACTATTGTATTATTGTTACTTTAGCTATCATTTTCAGTTTGAGGTCAGTTTCTACTTCTGTCATCCAAATACATGGGTGTTTTAATGGCATCATCAAAGTGGTGGCATGTAAACCTTGAAAAGTAACAGTGCAGAGTACTGGACCTATCTGTAAGCCCCAGAAAAATTACTTCTGTTACTGGCAGTGCACTAAGGATTGTTGACTGGATGGGATCACAAGAAAGTTGTATAGGTCAGCTCCCTTCCTACTCTCCCCAGCAAAAATGTGGATAAAGCCTCTCCAGCTTACCTGCATCCCAGCAAACATCTGTGCACCTGGCATCCTCTCTGGGTACATTCTGTGCCTATTTGTTTTGGACCAACATCCATCTGCCATACAGAAATGGAAATAGTTTCGTATTTTTCCAATTAAAAAAATAAAAGTTTTTTGGGGCAGAGGGAAGCATTCTTTCAGATTTTCCTTCATGTCCCCTAGATTATCACCTGAAGTGATGGCATTTTTCAGTCTGTCTGTTGTGACCAGGCAGGTGCAGAGGGAGACAGGTGAGGCCCAATTCTAACCTTGCCATTGGTGCCCAGTCCCTCCTGCAGCAATTGAGTTGGAGGGCTGAGCTCCCAGTAGCTCCCTTTCAAAAGGCACGTGCCTGTCACTAAAACCACACCAAGACTGTTAGTAAAGAGGAGGAAAGGGATGGTGTTCCCTGATGGTGCTGAGCCTTCCAGCAGCTGCTGCCGTGTTCCCTCTGCTGTTTGGTGTTGGACACTGCCGATGTGTGGTGAAGAGATTAACTTGCAGGTTACAGCAGCTGGCTGCATAAACACAGAGATATTGGGATTTAAAAGATGTGTACAGTGCTTCTCACTCCATGAAAGGATGTCCACAGCATTATTTTGGCTACCTGCATTGACTGTTGTAACTGAGCAAAGATTAAAAGATGTTTTTGGTCTTTTCAGGTTTTACGGAGCTGAAATTTTATGTGGGCTTCAGTTTCTTCACAGCAAAGGCATTATTTATAGGTGAGTACCAGCTAGCTCCAGGCTGGGACCTGGGGATTGTCTTAGCACTTCATGCATCTTTGAATTCCTGACTGATCTAACAAGCACAAGCTGTCTGTCAGAGATCTGAGGTAGTTCCAAGGCCATTAACATGCCTGAGATAAATCTCTATTTGTGTAGTTTTTTCCTTGGCAACTGGAATGATGGAATGGGATTTGTGCTACACAAAAGAAGTCTTGTTTCAGTTATTTTCAAACATTGCCTTCCAATCACGAGCCTATTTAGTGTGGAGGTCAGGGAGAGGCTCCTTGAGCAAACCACCAAGGTGGAAGTTCCCTGCTTTTGCCTTCTGATGAAACCACATTGATGCTTCTGCCTCACCAGGCTGAAGCATCAAGGGCCAGACCCTGGTCCACTGCTGGTACTGGGAACTTCAGTTGCCCAGGAGAAAGGAGTGCCCTGCTCTTATGTGAAATTCTCTGCTCTATTTCAGCCCTTGGTAAGCAGAGGGCTGTTCAGTTTCTCTTCAGCCTGCCCTCCTTGGTATGTGCATTTGCAGCCAGATGGACAAAAAATGCAGTGTGGTCAAAGGGAGGGAATGTAGCTTTTGGAAACTGCTGGGAAAAAAGCTCTTTCTTGGTTGAATAGTGTTGTTCTGAGAAAAGACATGAACTGGACCCCGCACAGGCCGTGCCACATGAACTTGGGCTGTAACCAGGAGCAAGTCACAGGTAGTGTTAAAGCTGGGCAAGTTTCAGACAATCAAATTCCTGCCAAAGGCTCTCAGAACCCAACACAATCCTTCTTTTGAGCCCTGGAGCTGGTGCAGCACTGCTGTGTCTGCTGCTGGGGCACTAACTCACACTGCCTTCCAGCAGCAACAGAAGCTCTGGCTGTGCTTCTGGATCTGAAAGCAAATGTGGAGGATTATAAGGTCACATTCTATATGTGCACCTCAGCCTCTTATTTTCTTTCACAGGAGAGAATTCTTCCCTTGTCCCTCATGCTTTCAAAGCACAAGAAAGTACCATTTTGGATGAATTGTGTTGATGGATGATTATTTCCTTGAAAAGCCTCTGTATGTGCAGTTGGAGAGGTGTTTATCAGTGAATAAACTGTGTGCATCTAATTACAAAAACCACTTAAAGCACGTTTTTAAAATACTTCTTGCAGAGACCTAAAACTGGACAATGTGATGCTTGATAAAGAAGGCCACATCAAAATAGCTGATTTTGGAATGTGCAAAGAAAACGTTGTTGGTGACAACAAGGCGAGCACCTTCTGTGGGACCCCCGACTACATCGCTCCCGAGGTCAGTATGGCACACACAGACACTGCTGGCAGGGATTTAGTGCCCTGATGGAACAAGAGCTGCTGTGATTAATCACCTCTTTGTAGACTGATAGTTCAGAAAAGTCCAGTCTAATTAGAGGTAGAAATCAGAGAAAGAAACTGTGCTTTTTTATAGAGAGTACTTGAGATTTTAAAATGCTCTGTAAGTTTAAAGAAATGGGTTTGGGAAGTTAAAATGGTCAGTGTTTTGAGAGCTAGGGGTTAGGTGTAGCCAGCACACCCATGAGGTTCCTGCAGAATGAATCTGTGTATGTGCACTGCAGATGGAGGACAGACTTGTGCCTGTGCAACCAACCAGAATTCAAAACAAGAGGAGCTTTTAAGTGGAATCTCAGAGAGTTTAATTCTGTGTGTTACAGTTATATTTTTTTTTTAATCTCATTTGCAAAGCAGCTCAAATACTATGGTATTTGAATTTTAAAGCTATAAATTATGTTAAAGGCTTTTTTATGAATCTACTTTGCATAACTACTTGCTTGTCCCTTCATCTTGTAAAGAAACTAGAGAGGATGTTTTTTAAGTCTATGATTACTTAAAGTTAAGGGAGAAAATTTCTGAAGGAGAGCAAAGAGCTGTCCATGGAGCTGGCCACATTGCCACCAACAGCAGCCTAGGGTAAAACCACAGCTCTGCCTGACTGTCCACAATTTCTCAGAGAGATGGATTTTTACTTTTCCCCTAAGTGCTCTAGTCATTAAAGATTCTCTCTTCACATACCTCTCCTGTTTTTTGGGATGCATTGCTGCTTCTGACCTCTTACCTGTATTCCCTCCTGTGCGGCCCAAGATCCTGCAGGGTTTGCGCTACACGTTCTCTGTGGACTGGTGGTCGTTTGGGGTGCTGCTGTATGAAATGCTGATTGGCCAGTCCCCTTTCCATGGGGATGATGAAGATGAACTGTTTGAGTCGATCCGAGTGGACACCCCTCACTACCCACGCTGGATTACCAAGGAATCAAAGGATATATTAGAAAAGGTAGGGCTGATGATCAGCTTGGGGTCATGTCTCTGTGCAGGGAGAGACAAATCTCCTAATAAAGGAGCTGTTTAGCAGCAGATTGCTCTTACAAAGAGAAAGCCAGGTCAGATTCCTAATGCTCTGTTTGCTGTCAGCACCCTTAGTTTTAGCATCAACCTGTAATTCTTCCACAGCTGTGCACCTTTGGAGCACTTCTAACGCTCTGCTGGGTGTCTTCTCTTGCAGCTCTTTGAAAGGGATCCAGCAAAACGACTTGGGGTCACTGGGAATATCAGAGACCATCCTTTCTTCAAAACAATTAACTGGACAGCGCTAGAGAAGAGGGAGGTGGACCCTCCCTTCAGGCCAAAAGTGGTATGTGGGATGCTCTTTCTTCTTAGCAAACAGCAGCCCAGGGTAAGGGGTGAATTCTGTGCCTGCACAAAGGATCCTACTGCCATTCTCTCCTCACATTTTACACATGAGAAAGTTGTCTATCTGTAAGCCCACTGTTCTTGGATGGTTCACTTCTGCACAGGTGCACTGTACTCCTTTGACTGCTCTGAGATCTTCCTGTGAAGACTGTCTTCCCAGTGCTCTCGAGGAGCTTCTTTAGGAATAGAATGTTCAGGAAAACCAACAGAAAGCTTTAATCTCCATTCCCCTCTGTGTCAGAATGTTCACAGTTCCTTGCAGTTTGCTTTTCTGAAATGCCACATGGGAGCAGCAGTAGCTCCAGGCTGCTCCCTGACTGCAGGGACTCTGCAAGCATTACATCTCTGCTGCTTCAAACTCACCCAGGCATCTCCAAGGGGGAAAGCAGCAGCATTCTCTAAGCCACTGAACTTGGAATTAATGTACATGCCTGATGTTACCTGAAAAAACACCTACACCACAGACTGTAACTCAGTCTGTATCACAGTGGATGCTGCTGCTTCAGCTCACCTGGTTAAAAATCCAAACCAGTGTTTCTCCAGCCTCTTACTAGAACAGGTGAAATGGTCTGGAGGCAAGAGTCTTTTTAAAATGTACTCTGTGGAGGAGAGCTGTCTCCTTCCAACACACAAGGTTTTGTGTTGCTTGTTCTCAGAAAAGTGAGAAATCTGGGAACAAAAGGATCCTATAAACAAATCTTTGGTGGTTCAGAGTGTAAAACAGTTTATAGTTACATGAATATTTATGAAACACAAAACAGCTGCTATAGGGCATTGCTTTATTCTCTGAACAAGTGCTACTTGTAAAATGTTCTCAGGAATTAAAAAATTTTGGTTAATATAGCAAGAAATGTTGGTCTGATGTGTAAATTAATGCAGCATTGCTTTTGTCAAGAGATGATCTTTGAGTAACCCAGTGTAATATCAAATCCAGTTGGTTCTTCTCCAAAGCAACTTGCATTTGGTTTTTCTGTTGGTTTCCAACTAACACTAAGAAAGTGCCCAGTTATAATCTTAGTCTTTTTAAAATAGATTGAAATGAGATTTTTTTTTTTTCTCTCTAAAGCAGGGGATGGAGGGAGGGAGCTAAAAGACTAACTTCCCAACATTTTGTACTTAAGTAATTTGTTCTAAAAGAAAATGACAAAGTTTGTCTCAAACTGCTTCCCTCTCTAACACAGAAATCAGCAAGTGACTACAACAACTTTGACAGAGAATTTCTGAGTGAGAAGCCAAAACTGTCTTACAGCGACAAAAACCTGATTGAGTCCATGGATCAGTCTGCATTTGATGGATTTTCTTTTATTAACCCCAAATTTGAACAGATCTTGAAGAAATAAGTCTCTGGCCAGCTGGACTTTAATGAAGGGTTACACTTTACAAACCCAGACTCCCAAGCGTTAATGCATCCCAACAACGTCGATACTTCAGAATTATACACGGTAGTGTGATGAATTGTGTTCAACTCCTGATTTATTGGCAGTGTTTCTATGCATGGTTGGGTTTAAGGTATGTGAATCATGTGCATTATTTTCTCTGTTTGGGAAAATGTAAATTCTGTTTGGTACTTGAATGTAGTTATATATATGTGTGTGTGCTGTATATTTTGCTCAAGAGAAGACATTGGGGAACAGAAGATGTCTTTTTAAAATGTATTTGAGCCCTTTGGTTCTTTTATTTAATGTAACTTTCATTCATGGCTCTATGATTTTTAACTATATACAATTTAACTCAAGTTGTCTTTAAACTACAGTAAAAAATAATGCTTGGTCAGCCCTGATCACTTTCTTAAAATATTTGTTGTTTTTGTGAATTAAACAAAAGGAAGTGTCAGGCAAAAGCAGAGATTCCTTGTGTGACAGCAGCTGCTGTGGGAAACTGCTCAGGGGTGCTTTTGCTGAAAAAATGCTGTGTATTTATTCCAAGGCAGTCCAAGCATGAGACAAAGAGGCCTCAGCATCCCAGAGCAGCTTGATCCTGCCTGGGAATGTGGGGTTCTGCCACTAAATGCCACTTCCTGCTCACAGCCACAACAATCACAGCAGGACAGAGCCCAGGTCATGACTGCAGAGTTACTTGTCTGCTCTTCCTGAGGAATTATTCTGTTTAACTGCCAAACACAAAATCCTCCTTCCAGTTTTATTTGCTTGTTTGTAACACAGCAGCTGTGTTCCTCCTGATTGCTGTTAGGACACAAAACCTGATCTTGCTTTCTTGCAACACCTACTTCTGAATTTTGATTTTTAGCCATTAGTGATAAAGAAAAACTAATGTAATTGCTGCAAAGCTCCTTCCCAAACCTTCACCTTGCAGTCAGCTCATAAAATTCAGGCTGAAGCAAGGTTTTCTGTATCTTGTTACACTCTGCAAAAAATTACAAATTATTTGATTTTCTCAACACTGAGGAGGCAGAAAAAATGTACAACTGTCAGTTCACCCAAGAATTATGGAATGCTACAGAACTCTTAGGAGCACCCTGGAGGTTCTGGGTAGTTTCAGACTGTTAATCCTGCTGCAAGAGCAGCAGAAAGCTGTAATACTTTGTAGAGACTCTAAACAAAATAGACTGCTAGGACCCCAGGGCCACCTGTGAGCACCACCTGGGCTCACTCACCCATCAGCTCTGGATCATCCTCATACTACAGGAAGTTTCAGCTATTACAGGATTTTGGTCAGAAAGCAGCCTAAGAACTCTAAAACAAACAAAGAAGTTACCTGTTCCCCAAACAGAAATACACAGTAGAATTAAAAAATAATGAAAACACTCCTCACCTAGCAGAGAAGAAACAAGTGGTTACCACCTCAGGGGCTGCAATCAGCAAGACATGAAAATGTGAGTCCATAATTCTAAAAGCACAAAGCAGTAATTAATTTTGTCCTTGTCATTCTGAAGGATAAGTACCCCTGCAAATTTAATGCCCTCCACCTCCCCTCTGCATACAAACTTGTACTGACAGGCAGCATTTGGCTGTTGGTTTTCAGCTTTTCCAAACACCAGCAGCATGTTCAAGAAAATGTAAGAACAATGTAGTTCTGAGAGGGTGGAGCAGATCTTAATCCCAGTGACCAGGTAAAGCTAATAAAGTCTTACCTTTCTCCTCCACCTGCAATCCTGGTATGCATTTATTTAATCTTCCAACTTCTTCCTCCATTATTGAGTTTCCTACTTGAATCATTTGTCACAGTAAAGCAACCACAGGGTGAATTAATTTAGCCCTTACATTTATATCTAAACTCCCTAAACCCAGCTTGTGGAAGCTGTGGAGCCCTGCTGAGGCTCAGGAACACTCACCTGGCACTTCAGCCACTGGAAATGGACATGGAAAGAAACACACATCAGTGCACCTTGTAGCATTTGATCTTTATTACTTGGATCAAAGGTCAAATGATTACATTTGTCTGAAAGATCACAACAGAGGCCAACAATGTAAGAAAGGATGGTTTAATCCCATTTGAGAGACTGCATCTGAGCCAGGCACACACAGAACACAGGCAGTCAAATGGTACAAACACAAAGGTCAGGACAAGGGTTTTCCCTTCCCCTGGCAGTGACTGTTCTGACAGGAGTGGGGGACACACACTTTTAGAAAGTGACAATTAATGGCAATTCTTAACTGTGCCTTCCCAGAACAGCAGTTAGGATTACAGCCTGGGAGAACCCATCACTCCAAATCTACATTCAGCTCAAATCTACATTCATCATCCACACCTGCTCTCTCCAGCCAGGATCAGATGCAGTCACTGATTTAGTACCTTCCTACCCTAGAACCAACAACTTTTTATTTTTTTTTTTTTTCCTCTTCAAGTATCAGCACAGTAGTTTATTTACACTTGTATACAACTCTTTTTACTGAACACCCATTGCAGTAAAACACTCATCACAGTATATTTGAAAGCAGGCTATAAAAATACCTACTGTACATAGAACATGTAGCCTCAAGGATGTTACAGCACCTCTGACAGATCAGAGAGGTAAAACAAAGGGGCAGAGGAAACACTTCAAGCCGTGCTTGTCAGCAAAGAGAAGCAGCCCCTGGGCTCAGCTTTCACTGGGGGAAGCATTTCTGCCCACATTTCTTCAGCCAGGTCTGAGCTCACAGTCTGCCAGTAAAATCCACTTCTCTAATGCAGCCTCCTTGGATTTTTACAGATAAATCCCGACATTCTCAGTGTAAGAACTGTTTAACCACCGCTCCAGTCCCAGCAGAGGAGCGAGGGCTGCCTGGGGCACAGCCCTGCTTTCCCACACCACAGTGAGAGGGGAAATTGCTCCTTCAGTGGTGCTACAAAGGTGGCCTTGTTAACCACACCTCAATAAATGCACTTCTCTGAGCAGTGCCAGGCAGGCTTCTCTCCTCACCCCACAACTATGGACACAGCTGAATTAATAAAGGTCTGAAATGGCATTACCATAACACACACACACAAAGCTTTAGACAGCAGCGCTTGAAGCAAAGTGTTCCTGGTCATTCTGCACCCTCCACATTCCTCCTCTGAAACAGAACCCAGCAATGCACTATGGCTTACTTCCAAAGCTGAATATATTGCTGAATTTAGCTTATTAAAAAAAAACAAACAAACAACAAAAAACACAACAGCAGCACATTATTGTATAAACCCTGCACAAACAAAAGACAATTTAGCCCTTGCCTGCAAAACTATGTTACCAGGGCCTGGTATTTCACACAGGAATTCAGGAAAGAAAAAAAAAACCCAAAACAACCCAAACAACTCACATGGTAAAAGCTCAATTAATTGGAGAGAATCCTTAGAAAAAAACAGTCCAGCTACCAAAGAATAGTTTCTCCTCATTTCAGAGCTAGAGCCAGCAGCAGTGCTGGCAGCTCACTTCAGTTGTCTGGTAACACACAGACAAAATACACTTTGATTTAGTACAGTTAAAAGGTTGTGACCTTGACAGACAGAAAATTCCATTTTTAGCACTGGAGTTTCACTAGGTGTAAAAGAGCAACGAAGAATTGGGATGATGGAAGGTGCTTAAAAACAAAACAAAAAACCCCAAGGCAAGTGTGCCATGTTAAAAATTATTTCAGCATTTACCTGGTGTTTTTGTTGCATGAGCTGTTAGAATGGTTAAACTCACCTAACCTTTCTGTACTGTTTCCTGATGTAGGTATTAAATGTGGCTATAAAAGAGAAACATATACTATTATGTTGAAATTCATTCCAAAAGTTCTCTAAAAATATGACAACACTAGCAAGACAAGCAGCTTTTCCAGCCCTTCACAGGCTGAATCCTTTTCCCCTCCCTTCCAGATTCAGAGAAGCTGCTCATCCCCTCCCATAACTGCAGCAGAAAGGATGTGACTCTCTCCATCTCTTGATCCATTCCCCAGCTGTCACTCACACTCATGTCTCCCACTGCCCTCCAAAATACACCTGCTCTCTGGAAAGTGTTAAAATCTTGCTAAAACAGCAGAATTTCCCAGGCAGCAAATCCAGCTTTAATGCTTTGATTTTTAACAAAGGGAACATCTCCCTTGTGTATTTCAGTAAAATTTGAAGTTGTGGCTGGCAAACCAAAGTTCAATTTAAAACACAGGACAATTATCAGAGCTGATGGGCTTCCCCATTTAAAGCAGCTTTGCAACATGAAGCCTCCAGTGCTCAAAATGCAGAATTTTGCCCAGGTTAGATATGCCATCAAAAAAACTCCATGTAATTCTAGGCAATCATTCACAGTAAAAATAAGAGCACTCTCTGAAAAAACACTTAAAAAAGATAATAAAATCTAGTTAAAATCTGACAGTAAAATCAACACGGGCAATTAACCACCTTGCATTATCCACGGACAAACAGTAAAAACCCACTAAAACTGCACAAATTTACATAAGAAAAATCTAAAACCAACTCTGCTCTGCTTCCCACAATCTTTTCACTGATACCTTTTGAGTTATCCACGAGCACAGGTTTTGTCCAAAGAAGTGGAATCACATTCGAAATGTCTCCAAGGGAAGGGGAGGCACGTCCGTCCCGCCCCGCTCCGACACCGCCGGGCCCTGAGCTGCTGGAGGAAGGGCTGCCGCCCCAGAAGCTGCAGCTATAGGTGGGTGGGGACTGTCCTCAAAGCTTCTTCTCTCGACCTATTCACACCTACATTCTGAAAATTTAAAGACAAATAAAAATAACATTTTAAAGCAAAGGTCTCACAGGCAGCCATGGCTTTTGCTCAGCACGCAGCTGTTACGTGACGCAAAAGGGGAGCAAGTTGTAACGCTTCTTTCCTCAAAATGCTCTGTAGAACAGCAGGAAAGGTCCCAGCCCCTGGGCAGGAGTCAGAACCAGGCTTGGACCATGTCCCAGTGCCAGGAGCTTTACAGAGCCCCCCAGACACCCAAAAGCAGGATCTCTGCTGCCAGTGAAACGCATCCCTCAGACCTGTATCACAGCAGATCTGGCAGGACAGTTGATCCCCGTACACCATATGCAGGTCTCAGTGTAACAGCTTTTAGACTATTGTTTTCCATTAACCATTGTTTAAACCACATTTTTCTAACCTACTGTTTCTCCCAGTCTTTATGCATGTAGTGGAAGGAAAATGAGAACCCTGTAAAGGTCATAAAGCACACAGGAATCAATAAAATCTTGAGGGAGGGAAGCCCACCTCTCCTTGTTGCAAGCACACCCCAGGAAATAATTCCTTAACACCAACAGTCATAAAGCCAATCCTGATCCTATCTGTGATTACTGGAATTACTGGAAGAACACTGAATAACTCCCTGAAGAGCTGGTAACATCAAGTGTTCCCTGAAGAGCTGGTAACATAAAGTTTAAATGCACTTTGGGATACACATGGCATGTGGCAGATGTCACACTGACATCAGGGAATGCTCCAGTGGTTTTATAACCACATTTATTAGAGTTTACATTCAAAACAAGTCTCTGCAGTCCAACTCTGGGGAAAGGAGAGTCCCACAAGGGGCCCTCTCAGCACATGCAGACACACAACTCCATCAGTCAAAACTCATCAACTCAAAAAGCAATTCAATCCCCTCCCCAACCCCGATTTCTAGATTTTCAGCCATTTCTTATGAAAGCAGGATATAAACAAGCAGCACCAGATTCTCATTGGAGGTTGGATTCTGCCACCATTGCTCTGCCCTTATCAGTTCTCTTAAATCCACATCAGCCCTTTCCTTTGCATCAGCCTTCAAGCCCTTGGGTAAATCCCCATTTTCCACCATGAGCACCAAGGTTTCTGGGAACACACACAGAAAATGCTGCTGGACAGAGTTGTCCAAGTACTGGAAATCTCTGCACACACCAGCACACAGCCTGACCCACTCTCACATCTCTTTGAAGGAAAGCAAAGCAACAACCCTGTTTCAAAAAGAATTTTCTGAAAGACACATCTCTTCTGCAGCAAGGGGAAAGCATCAGTATCTGCTAAGAACACGAGGAGTTAGCAAAACAAGTCATATTCTGCATAGTTATAGGGAAAAAAACCAAAACAACACAAACCAACAGAACACGATGGCATTTGGTGTGTTTGTGTTTTTCTTAGCAACTGATGCAACGTACCCAGAATTTCCCTGGGACTGCAGAGAGGTCTCCACAGGCACTCCCAGAATACAGGCTGAAATCTTTTAAGCTGAACATCTGATGTTGATTCAAAGAAAATTAAATGGAGCATGAAATGGCACATCAAAATGCAGGAATCCAGAGGTACTGGAAATTAGTCCGCAAGCAGCAAGAGCTAGACAGCTCAAACATGAAGCTAAAAGGAAATGAGGTGATTAAGGCAAGGCAGAAGACACAGCTTATTTCAGTCAGTGAGAGGTATTGGATAAAAGCAGCATTCTGACAACTAACACAGACCCAAAGGGAATATTGATAAGCAGGCAAGGAAGCTGAAAGCAAAAAAAGCTTGAATTTGAGCAAACACAAAGAGGCTGTGGAAGCCAAATGTGCTGAACTGTCACACTGAAAGAAGAAAAAACTGGGATAACCTCTGATGAGCACCCCAAAGGGCTTTATGGCACAAACACAACAGCCGGCAGTGAGACCAGATGAACAGGGGCTTAGAAAGGGACCAATATCTTCATTAACTGGAAGTGGATTCCTACTCATAGGAATGCCATTAGATGAGATGATGGCAGCTGGGAACTGTACCCACTTTCAGAACAGCCACGGGCACTGGGAGGGAAAAGCCATGCAACAAGGACAGTGCTGCTGCTCAGAAAGGTGACAGAGGTCTCAGCCTTACTTTTGGGACCATAAGGTGTCCCTGCAACTGCCTGGCACCAAAGCACCCCTGGACAAACAACCATGCTGAGAACAGCCCCACACCAGCAGCAACACGGTCTGAAGAGCCTGGGAAACACAGAAGGAGGAATAAAACCCACACAGTTTTCCCAAATATCGTTTCTACCAAGCCATACATCCTCTTCTTGGCCAGCCCCAGCAGCAGCTTGCTGCTTCCAGAGCCTGCTCCCTGAGGCAGGAGCAGTCTGACCCTGCCTTGCACAAGAATCCATCTCACTCTGAAAAGATTCAAAGTACACAGAATAACTCAAAAACCTTCCTATACTACTGCTGCTGTTCTAATTATGCCCTGGCCTTTGTACATTTTTTTCCTACAGGACAGGGCCTCCCCCAGCAAAGTGCTGTGGACCCTGTTTTCAGTTTTGCTTTGACTCAGCTACCCGTGATCCTCACAGCAGAACAGGAAGATATTGCATAAAGGCTCCCACAGGCAAAAGGAGGAACCTCTGGAAACAGGAACCAGCACAGGCATAAGCATAGAAATAGCACAACATAAACATCCAGCACTCTACCAGGCAGCTTCCCCTCAGCAGGCTGTGCCACAAACCACTGACGCCTCCCATCCAGCATCAGGCCTTCCTTCCACTGACAAAGCAAGGGCTGTTGAGCAATCTGCTGTAAGAGATCCCTTAGAGCATTCTGCTTTCAAATATCCACTCACTCTTGCACACATCAGCACAGTGAGTGCTGTGCTCGGCAGAGAACAACATGCAGACACAGCTCCAGGAAATCTGGCTGGCAGCAGCTGGCAGGAATGGAGGGCCCTGGGTGCTCCTGCTGCTGGGAAACAACAGGTCCCCCTGCAACCTCCACCAGCCACAGGCCAGGCAAACTTTGCTTTCCTCTCTTGGCCAAGCTCCTGCTCCTGTCATCCCACCCCTCAAGTTTCTCTGACAGCTCCAGCCATTCTTTTTCAAGCAGCAAAACTCAGTTTTTCCACAGCAGACACCTGCACAGATTTTGACTCCATCAGAAATGCAAGGTATTTCATTTCATTTGGATGGTATTTCCTTAGCTGTGGCCTGTGGAGGTGACAGCACTCCAAGCTGTCTCCATGTGGCTCCTCAGTACCTGACTATGGCCAGCATCCCTGTGATCCCTCAGGAATGTTGCCTCAGCATCAAGTAAGAGCAACTGGACTCACTGTTGTGTGCAAGGGGGTACATCAGGCTCAGGTGCTCCTCCTGGGTACCTTTAACAGCAAAGCTCATTCCCAAACCCTGGAGCAATTGAACATGGAAAAGTGGCCAACCACTCCTACATCACAGTCATGATAACAACAGGAAAATGATCCAGGTTCTCCCAATTTCCACCCAGGGACAGTGGTTTAACTAAACACCAAGCACCACAGCAGGGGGCTCTCTGGATGGAAGGTTATCTGGTTATGGCAAACATTCTCAGTTGCTATAAACTTCTGCAAACTTCAGCCCAATTTTAGAAGTGCAGATCTGTAACCTTTTTTCTTCCAAAATCCTGATTTGGGAAAAACATACCACCTAAGAACCTAACAGATAAAAGCTTTCCACAGCCTACAGTCCTGCTTACTTTCACTACTAAAAGGCCCCCTTGGAAAGCAGTTCTGAGGCTCAATGTTTTTCTGCCTTTCCCTGCCTCAATGCTGCCTGCTCCATGGCACAGGTACTTCCCACAGCCTTGTGGTGCCCACAGAACACCAGGGGAAAGGCACCAAGGCACCACATCTCCCACATCCCACAGTCTCCTCCCTCCTGCAAGAGGCTTTCCTATAATAAAGTTTAGGATTCATGCCCTGCTGGCTTGAGATCTGCATCTACTGGAGCCACTACCCAGCTACACAATCCCCTCTGGCTGACTCTGATTTCCTGTTCTGGAATGGTCAGCACTGCTTATTGGAGTCCACATAAAATCTGGGTACACAGCAGCTGGGGCAGAGCTTTAAGTGGTCCATCACCCACATCCACACAGAAGCAGGAAAAGAGGGAATTTAAAATCCCTTCTGCCCACAGGCAAATCCTAAGGCCTGGTTAATGCAGAACAGCTGTTAACAAAAGTGGTCTGTTAGAAACATTTATTGCTGTTCTTTGAATAATTGTTCTGGAACTAAGTGAAAACTTGCTACCCTGCTCCAACAGCACATCATTAATTAGCACATGCAGCACACTAGTGCTGTGGATCAGTGGGATTAGGGATTTACAGTAATTATGGGTTGTTATTTTACACTACATGGCAGTCCAATCACTCCCAAGGGCCCTGAAACAGATAATACTGGTGGCTCTGCTGAGCAAAACAAATTTTGACTTTTCTTATCTCACACAGGATGTTGTGCTTCATGGCCTTCATAAATACACTGCAACTAACACTAAATGACTGCTGGCTGTTACAGTAAGGCTTAATGCTGCAGGATATTTAAATTACAGTAATTTACAAAACCAGCATTCCAGTGAGAGCCGATCAAGGTTTGATAACTCATCCACAATAAATTAGCCAGTGCAACAGTTTTATTGTAATTTGATAGATGTTTTCAAGTCAAGCGCTGTACAAACATTTGCTCTGGGTTATGAGTTTGGTTTGGGTGTGGCTATTTTTTTTTTATTATTATTTCAAAGTGATTGGAATGATTAGTTTTTCAATTTATTCTGAAGTAGCAGGACGAAAACAGCACCCCAAATTCAACAGTTGATCAGCACACGGAATTCACTGATGAGCAGGGACTGTTACAAGAGCATCCTCGGTAGGTCTGGAAATGTCTACATTCTGTATAATAATAAAAATACAGAGAATATTTATCATGCAGCAGTAAGACCAACAAAAACCACTAATCAGGTCCCTTCACAAGTACACAGCTGGGTTGATTGAGAAGCAGAGATGGTTTCAGCCCCCCACGCCCCAACAATGCAGCAGACTGAGAGCCAGTCACTGTTCCAGAACGAGACAGCACAAAAATGTATTTACAGTAAAAAAAAAAAAAAAGCTTTTGAAATTTTCACAGTCCTCTGAGGAGCAATGAAATACAACTCCCTTGCTGACAGCACTACCCAAAGCTCAAGTCAGTCACATTTAGGGGGAAGTCTTTTACAGGCCCAAGCAGGAATCCACTTTCTCACGTGCTTCAGCACATACACATCATCTCACTGAGAAACTTTCAGTGTTTCGCTGAATATGCCACATGCTTCTGTGTCAGAAGAAGGCTTTTAACATGTGTTCCTGTCATAGGCAACATAACACCTCTAACAAAATAAAAAATATGTTCTCAGACACCTTAAGCATTCAAGGCTGATCACACCAACTAGATCTCACCTCCTTTTGCAGAGGCTGCAGAAAAACAATGCAGCACTAAATTCAAAACCAAATGAAACCAACACCCCAGTGCAGCCAACCACATCAGGAATCACATCTGCTATAGCACCACCTCCTGCAAATCCAAATCCTGTGCAATTGGTATTCTCCCTCCTACCACGAGAGCAGACCATGATAAACTGCTCTGAAGTTCCTTACAAGATCCATTTTAGGCCAAGCCATTGCCAATTATTCGAACTTCACGCTGATGGGTTTCATTAGTCTTGCCTGTTCTGCACTGTGGGAAGCCAGCTCACCTTGCACTAAAACATCTCCCTCCCCCATGTCCCCTCAACAAAATCAAAAATGGGATCTAGTAGGAGTAATGTCCTCTCTGTCATTCAGCAACTAAGCCAGATGAGCAAAGCAGATATTTCACCCCAGCACTTGTTTTCTGGCCCAAAGAAGGGACCCAACAACAGCTAAAGCAACTCCCCTGAATTATTTTCTGTAAAAGACTATAGACTCCTTCATTGGAAAAGGTCACAACTTCAGCCACTACAATGCTGACAAACACAAGGCTTCAATCTGCTCCAGACAAATCCCCATGGTACTCTGAGGTTCACACATGCCACAAACAAACACCCCAGAGCTGTGCCTGCATTTCTGCCATGTGACAAGAGACGTTTTCAGCTGAGCCCAAAAGGAGGGCACTGTTCTGGAGCACAGACTACAAGCAACTGGTGGGTCACAGAACAGCACACTGGGCAATTCTCAATCCAATAGTTTCATTGTTTAACAATGCTGCTATGTGAGACTGTATTTAATTAAATGCTTTGACTTCAATAGACTACTTGAAAACTTAATTTTACAGAAGTAATTAACATTTTTGTAGGTGATATAAATGAAAGCTTTTGAAAGTTTCACAGTCCTCTGAGCAGCAATTAAATGCAGACAGGACCAACTGAGTCCTTCATTCAGACCCACTACCTGAACAGTGTAAAATCATCCATATTCACCAGGCTGGGTTTCCTTTGGGGCAAAGCAAGAAGAGAATTTGAGGTTTTTTTAGGAAAATGCCACTACTCCTTTTCTTTCTCCTTATAAAATTCATTCACTCAATTGATTTCTGTTCAGATCAGTCTTTTATCTTTGAGCTCACTGCAATGGATGTCTCTTCATGATCCTCTACATGCACCTGAATAGAGCCACCTCTCAGCAGTGCCAGCATGGCCACATCACTTGCTAGACATGGGGAGAGTCACCTGGCAATTCAGACAGAGCTTTCCCTCTTGAAACAAACCCCTTCAGACAGAGGACTGGCATTTTCAGCAACATTTTAGCAACCTGTAAATTCAGCACTTATATTTTTACCAAACTAAAGATGTTTATCTACATTATTTAACACAAATAACCTAAGACACCCTCAGGGATTTTCACTATGCTTCTCCAGCTTTAGGTACTGCAAAAACACAAACTGGATTTCCTAAACATGTCAAATCAAACTAAGATGCAAAATGGCAAAGCAGAATGACAAAACAGGAAAAGCAGGAGAGAAGAAATAATGCAATGTAGCTGTTGAAAACATCCAAAAGGCAGTATTTTCAGAACTTAGAATACCATTAAAATAAAACTTCTTTGCAGAAGAATTCAGCAAAGAATTCCAGCATGAATTCTGCACAAAAGTGAGCCCTCAGTTATAAAAGGCACTTTATGTCATGTGTCTTGCTGAATACACACATAAAACCTCATTTCTCACTATATTCCTTTTCACCATAAACTGTTGCTCTGAAAGCCACCAAACACAGCCCTTTTTTTCGTGTTATCAAACTGATTTCCAATTCACCAGTCGGCACTGCTCCTAACCCCAGCACAGAATCAGTGCCATGCCTGGTGGCATGAGCCTGAGGATCTGCAAGGGAACCAGAGGGCTTTAATCATGACACATTTCACACAACTTTGATGATAAAGCAAAGGAAGAGCTTGGCAGAAGCAGCAGAATCAGCCTGAGCTCAGGTGGACACTGAGGAGCACAGAGAGCCTGACGCAGGCAGGGCACAGAGCTGCCATGGACTGACATCATCTCTGCACTTACATTTTACAAACACGCTCAATTTCCTTCCCCCGGTTGTCCTGCTGTTTCCTGAGATCTAGTCTTCCTCTCCAGCTTTGGCTTAAAACACAGGTGACATCATCAATTCCTCTTTTTCGTACAGCAGTGACCACAGTGATGAAAAAGCTGATGATTTCTCTCCCCAGAATAAGCGTGGTACTCATAACACAACTGTGTACACCTACTTCTGCTGAGTGACAAAGCCTGACAGAACTTAGTACAGTTTTTAGCCTGACACCGCTTAAAAGCTGTGTTATCAAATCAATTCTAGCCACAAGGACAATGGAAATCATTTCAGTCAGTACATTACATTAAGTTCTCCAATTTGAAAAATACTCTTACCTCAGGTTTATCTCTGTGTGTGTTTACAGCTTCGACATTCAGAAATATAGATTCTACTTTACATCCTGTTGACAGAAAACACATTTTTAGATACATCTGCTTTGAAAGTGAAGTTATACTAAAGATGCAACCTAATTTTGACATGGTGAAGGTTAATCACTTTCCCTTTCTGATTTATACCAGAATTTCCTGAATTCTGAAGAGCTAAAGCTACAGAAATTATTCTGTTCCACCTGGATGAATATTATTGTCAGTCTAATAAACATTCTCCTCATCTTAGCTTTTTCAATATTTTCCTTGAAAAAATATCTTTATTTCTTTTAAACATACACAAATGTTCAGTGAGAAAGCTTTTATTTGTAACTTTTTGTGTTTTAAACACCCTGGACTTCTGTATTACAGTAAAATTCTAAGAAGATAAAAGCTGCTCTCATTTCTTAAACATAAAAACAACTACAAGAAGGTAAAGTGTGTTGTCAGCAACCCCTATCCCTCTATATGTGCAAAACGGTTTTAACCTCAAGCTAAACACAACTTCAAAGCTGACTCCTGAACAGGAACTTCTGCTTTACATTCAAAAATTCAAAATGCCAGTGACATAAGAAAAATTAAACAGTGAGAAGAAACAACTATTTTCCAGGTAGTATAAAGTGATTCACTTAGAGAATGATCTAATTACTCGATATACCATGGCCACAGCACTTCAAGCAATCTCTGATTGCTAAACCCTGGCTTATCTCACACAAACATGACTTTTATAAGCTACCACTACTCTACACAACATCCATTAATAATCACTTCCTCTGACAAACCAGAGTCCATCTTCTATCACAAGCAGGTTTCCAGATTTTTCTCCTCATTTATTCCCTAAAGTCGTAACACACTCCATCGAATTGCTACGTGACAGAAAAAGGGGATTTCCTTAGAAAGCCACTGCACTTTAAAAAAATAAAAATAAATTAGTAAGGCCAGTATTTGCCTTCCCTACCGGAAGCCTGTCCTGATAAAGCCCATTTGTCAGGAAGACTGTGAGCAAGCACTGTGGGAGGGCCAGAACTCAGAGAAACAGTGAAACATAAAACAGATTTTAAGGAGAAAATGCACACATTTCTTACTGGAGCAGGATCCTTACTCATCCTTCTGTCCACAGATCCACTGTGACCGATGAGACAAAGCCAAGACAAGGTCTGAGCCCTGCTGCTGGCCGTTACCCAGAACTGTTACACAGCAGACACTTCAGAGACATCTCAGTCCTTGCCACAAGCTGAGTTTAAAATCCAGAGAGCATCATCTGGAAAGCTTCAAACATCAACTAAAGGGACATGCCTTGCTTCACAGTAATTACTACATGCATACTCCAAGCTCATTTTTAATTACTGATGAGCAAGTTCATACCTACAGCAAGCTGCAGTTTCTCTTTCCAGAGACCACCACTGCCCTGGACTGCTGGGTAAAGGTCACATCCACCCTGATCCAGCTGTCAGGCTGTAACAGATGTTCCTCTACTGCAGACCAGACTCTTAAGGTGGGAATGATGCTTCTCTCCAACACCAGGAAGAGCAAAGCCCCAGGGGAGGCATTTCTCCAGAACAGACTTAGCTGGGAGGTATCAAACACACCAGGTCTGATCCTACATCCTGCCTGGCTGGAGCCAAGTGACACATCAGCTTGGAGCACTACCATCGATCAGTACTGCAGAAATAATTTACACACTCCTCGTGCTTTCAGATGGCTCAATTCCAAAAAGTAGGTTGGCTGAAATGTGCTCATCAGACACACATATCAAACACCGTAAGAAAGGACAATGGCATTTCTTTCCCTCAAGTCAAAAGGGCAAGGACAGTGTGCTGTACCAATTTGTTTCCTTCCTCTCTTAATGCGTGAGCAAACACTGCAAACATCCACACCCTCCTACAATTTATGAGCAGTCACCCAACCTCCCAAAAAGCCAAAGAGAACCCAAAACAAAGCCTTGCTGTGGAAAACAGGCAGAGACTAGCAGGTCAGAAGAATCCCGTTTTAAAAAGCCCAAGTTTTAACTGCAGCGAATCTTTATTTTCAAAACCCCAGCTTGTCATGCAAGGCTGGGAACACCAGATGTCACCACAGCACAGGCTGTCCCTCCTGTAGGACAACACTGCAACCAAAAGACAAAAATCTCTTTAGATATATTTCCCAGTGTAGCAGCTACTTTGTTTCATAATGTTTTGTTTCAACTTCATTTGAAACTTAACGAAGTACAGATCTGGACAGCTATTTTTCAGAGATGGTAATCAAAGACAGCTTACAATTCACCAACATTTTTGGGCAATATGTTTTTCCTAATAAGCTGTGCAGATGATTCCCTGCCTGAGATGATCTTCTCAAGTGGGATATCAGCAGATACAATTCAGCTGTTACTTAAGGAAAATGAACAGCAGGCACACATTTAGCTGAGGTGGGAACACACACAAAACTCCTTCAGCAATCAGCCTAAAGCTCATACAGGGCACGCAGTAACTCACACCACATACTGCCCAAAGAGACCAGGGAAAGCCGCTGAGCCAAGCACCAGCAACAGTTGCTGACAAACAAATGCCAAATCAACAAACAAGGTGAGTTCATGGGGTATTCTCATAGTCCATGGGAAAAAAAAATACTTCAGGAAAAGAGAACAAAGTTATTAAAAGCTAAGGGAACACATTTTGCAAGATGATAAACCTACACAAAAGCAAATTTACCCATCTTCCGAAAAGCAATACCCCTCCAGTACATCAATAAACACTCATATCTTTCTGTAGCATATGTGTAAATGCATGGGTTTGCCAGAAGAATTAGTGAAATAGAGTATGAACTGAGCACAAAACTGTCCCCTCCAGCAGTTTGAGCCACTGGTGGTTTCAGGCCTTCCAGCAACACATATGTGTTTCCTGGCACGAGGCAAAGCAAGGGTAATCCACAAGATTCATTTATTCCAGCAAAGCTCTGCAGGCATACATGCGATGTCAAACCTAACTATTTTAAAGCAACATAAAGTGTGTTTTAAATGCTTCACCACCTTTCCTGATGACAGGGACAGTATAGCCAGACATATATATTAAATATATATGATTGCACTTACCATAAGCCACCGGGGTTAGCTTTAAGACAGTATGCAGTGGGCACTTCAGGTAGGGCAGTTGTTCTGAGAAATCAAATCACAAATTCCACATGAAATGCAGGTTACAAGAGAATTTTCTCTTATGTTTCAGGTCAACTACTTGAATGACTTTTTACCTAACAAGGTATCTGTTTTCCTAGCATGCAACAGAGATGCTAATCAGAGCAAAAAACAAAAGTATTTCAGGCGAGGAGCAGCTCAATAACAGCAACCTCCAGGTTTCATGTGGGGGTCAAATACAAAAAAATACACTTGGGTACCTGCCTAGCGAAACCAGCCTCTGATGATAGAGCAAACTGTTAGAATTTACTGTTTGGAACCTTAAGCAGTAAATTATTAAAAACACAAGACTAATATATCAAGGAAGACTTACCTGCGGGCTTGTCAAGGAAATATGCGAGCAAACAGCGCATGACAGCTTGGTGACAAATGACAAGCACATTTTCCTGCCTTTCGAGTTCCATAATTACTGGCTCCAGCCTCTGAACAAGATCTTCATAAGACTGGGTGGAGAGGAGAAACACAGAGCACATTAAAAAGGGAAAACTCTTTGAACTGTTTATGTATATAGAGGGGAACTTAACTTCATATTAGTCATCTTCTAAATGTTATTTAGTGTACAGACAAATACTGCAGTAATAATTTTCATTAAACTAAGAACACACTTCAGACCTCAGCATACACGTAACACATTTTATTATACATATAACAAAACAAGTCTCCCTCATGGAAAAGCTTTATTAAATTAGCCACTTTGATCAAGAATTTCCACAAAATCCCTAGGATTTAATTCACATCTGCAAATATGAGTCTTCCAGGTTATTTTCCATAGCTCATCTTCAAAAGCATCTCTCTTCCAAGCCCAAATCTAGGAAGCCCAGCCAACAGTCAGCACGCAAAGAATTCACAAAGCCTGACTTGTTCAGGCTGCCCTTTCAAAAGAAGCTGTGGGCATGTTGGACTGGCCTGGTGACAGCAGCCACCGTCCCACCAAGCATCAGCACAAGGACTTGCTGGTGACCTGTCCTGCCTGGTGATGCACAGGGAATTGCTGCTGCAGGTGAACAGCAGGGCTCCTGCATAGGCACAACTGGATTGAATTTCACATCCAGGGTAAAGACTCTGCTTCCAAAATGTGCCAAGTACTTCCAAAATGCGTCACTTATGTCCAAAATGTGTCATGTACTGCACATGTGGAGAGCTCAGCACGTTGCCCAGCGGGGCAGGGACCGAGCACAGCAGAAAAACTTCACCCTGGTCCCCAGATGGGGGGACTGCTGACTGAGCCCTGGACAACAGAAAACCCCCAGCCCCAGAGAGCTGTACAAACCCCTCACTGTTATCAGACATAAAACTGCCTTGGATAAATGAAACCAACTCATCCCCACAAGGCACAGTCGACCAAATGCATGAGGAGAACTTTGCAACTTAATGACTGCCTCATTAGCAGGCCAGGGTCACGCTACCAGGGACAGTGCTCTTGTCACAGTGATTGCTCCTAAGGAAGAAGGCAGAGCTCTGCTTCCTCACAACTCAAGCAGGTGCAGCTGGGCCAATCCCTCCTCCCTGCTGCCCAGACCCTCAGCCCCCACCAATGGCCCTGTGACCATCTGGCCATCACTGCACTGTAGGGCTGCTTGAGAAAAACCACCAGCAAGTTTATTTTCCTGGAGGCAAGGAGTTCAATAATATAGCTGGACATTTCCCCAGCATTTCAACCAGAGCTGCCTGCAAAACAGCCACCACCAAGAGCAGGGATGAACAGAAACAGGGCATCTTAGCAGCAAGTTTGTAACAGTTGAAGCCCTGCAATAATTCCTCCTGCTTTATCACTGCAGGACCAGCACGGGAATGATGCCCACAAGATCCAAGCTCTCCACTGTTTTTCTATATTTATGGTTTTAGTTTTCAAGCCCTTAATCAAATGAAGTGATCTGGGCTCAATCCTTGCAGGATCCTATGTGCTTTTCCACAAAGAAAGGAACAAACTTTCCATTAATTTAAAAAAATATTTTTCCTTCCTAAAGCCAGCATGCATGTATGCAAGAAGACAAGGAAGCCCTTCAACCTGAGAAATTAAATATAGCATACCTCCCCTTTAGGGTATCTGTATCTGTATTTGTCTTGGTCTCTCAGTGCAAATTCAAGCGGATAATTTTCCTGTATTTCTTCATATGTCATTTCTTCACACACTCCCTGTTGGTAACGAAAGCAATTAAAAAAACATCTATTTCCAGTAATGCAAAAAGCAGATATCACTCTTAAATAAAACTATATACAAATAACCTTTAACAGGTTTATTTTCCTACTCTGTCACTTAAAAACGTCACAGATGATAAACAAGACACTCAGCTTGACTCAGAGGTGGTTGTAGAGGTGAAGTTACATCCATGGACAAAGCAAGGCCATGTTTTATCTATTGCACCTCCTATTATATCTTACAGCTGCAGCTGGAAATTGCCAGCTAGCAAAATTCTTTCCAAGCCCAACTAACCAAAACTTCGTACCATCATGCTTCTACAGAGGAATGTTTTACTGGGAAAGACAAAAGAAAAATAAATTAACAATGGCAAAATCTAATAAAACGTTTAGCCTTGTTTACAGGGAATCACAATCATTTCCAGCCTCTAGAAGCAGCTTCAATGACTTTCTATCCTACAAAAGACATATTATTAAAAAACTAAGTACTTTCTTCACCCCCAGCAATCAAAGCTACTTATTAGGCATTTAAAAGAGAAGAACTTACTGCATCTATCTCATTTAAAACTTTCCACTGCTCATAAGGCACTCCCAAGGCTTCAGCAGTCTGAATTGTCCTTTTCATCTGGCTGGTCCAAACTTTCAGATCTTTGATATTTTGCTCATTAATAAACTGTGCCAAGCTTTTGGCAAACTGGAAAAAAAAACAAGAGACACTAGATGAAGGCTCAGAGCCAACACACGGCGTTCAGTAGAGAATACACGGGTTCCAGCCTCTGTAAACTCACTGTAGCTTTTCCAAAAGACTGTCAAAGTTTTTGCTAAGAAATACAACCTACTCCATTATCCAAGAGGGACAGGAGAAAGAAAAGGAGTACAAGGAAAATAGAAGTTTTCAGCAGTTCGTAGCTTTCCTTAAAGCTGAAAGGAAAATTTGTTGAAGTTGTGTACACTTTCCCAATTACCCAACTAGTCAGGACTTCACAAAAATATAGTTAAAAAATAAAGCCCTCTTGCCAACTGTTTTGTGCTGTAGGACAAAAAGGAGTTTCAGCCAACAGAGACAAACAGATAAAAGACTACAAACCACAACACACAAAGTGTCCATCCAGTTTCCACTACCCAAACACACAACTAAAGAAGTCCTTTAAACTCGTTAAGAGGAAAAGGCTGGAGAGGGGGAAAGCTGCAACTGCCCAGCACAAACACACAGAACACAGTCACACCTGGCTGGAGGTACGTACGTACTTCTTTCCCCCTGACAGACAGCCCAGGATCTCCTCCTATCCTCCCCTTCAGGTTGAGCTCGCTCTCTCCGTGTCGGCAGAGGTAGATTGACCGAGGAGTCACATGGATATTCATGAGGTAGTAGACAATCCGGCTCTGGATGTGATCCATCACTCTGTTCACGAGATAACTCCTTCCGACATCCATAATTTTAATGTAAGAAAGATCCCTTTCATGAGCAAGTTAGAAAAAAAAAGTAAGGTTCCACGTTGCTGCTATTAGCATGTACCTACAATTTTTCCACCCTCTCTCTCATTATAAAACAAAGGGGCGACAAGCCAAAGAAATGAAAAAATCCTCCATTAGCCATGGAATATGCATTAGTCCTAAGGAACAATACAGTACTCCAAAGGCACAGGATGAACTCTATTCCCTTCACGTGGGGCTGCTCACATCACTTTCTTTTCAGCTTCCTTTACTTGCACTTCGTCCAAATCTAGATCCTACTCTTGGAAAAATACAGCCCACACACTGTAAGGGACATTCAGTGGAGTCACTTAAGCTCCACAGTTGAGTGAGATATACATCTATTTTACAATACCGGTTGGTTTTTTTCCCCCAGGTTACAAACACTTTCCATCACCAAGTCTTTGTCTGATAGCACCCAGGGGCCAAAAGGAATGGCCACTAATTACACATCTCAATTAATTCCTCCAGAGAAAGTAGGGCAGCAGAAGAGCCAGGGAGTAGTTTGAAACAAGACATTTTCTCAACTGCTCTGTGAGCAGCCCTTTGTTAACAGTACTGTAATCTACTCCACCACTACCTTTTCTTAGCATCAGACAGCTTGTAATTTCAATTTTCACTGCTTATCCTTTATCATCTGAGCTATAATTCTAGAGCAGCCTCTCGTTCACACAAGGAAAAATGTCTCATAAGCTGCAAATAACCACTATCAGTTTCTAGCGATGCGTTTGAGACACCACACCGCAATAAAACAAGAAAACTGATAATAAAACCTGAGGTAGTGAGAAACAGGCATCAGCACCCTCATTCCTGCCTGTGTTCCTTGGAGTTAATCATTACCATTCCAGCCAGGCACAGCCATTAGGTCCATCATGGGAATTACACGCATGGACTGAGCCGATTGAACTGGCTTCACGCTGCTCACGCTCAATTACATTAAAATGCAGCTCAGCCTTCTCAGCAGCTCTGGCCTGGAACAAACCAGGAGCACCCTGGGATGGCTGCAGCTCCAAATCCTACTCTGAAATCCTGGGCTACAGCAAGAATAAAGGGGCTCCTCCTCACGTGATTCATCCCTACCTTATTTTCTAGAGTTCAAAGTTAATAAAAACCAGAAGAATGCTTTGGTGTGAGGATAAATAATGTAGCTAAGACAGTTTCTCACGGCCCTGCATCTGCAGAATAATTTTGCAAGCACAAAGAAATTAATTCAGAAGTCACATTTTAAGACTGATGTGTTCATAATTAACCTTAACCATGCCAACCAATTAAGTTATGCTTACAAATCACTCATGTCTCCTCTAAGTACCAAAACAAGTACCAACCACTGTAGAAAGTCTGGAATAATTGCTAAATGCCAGTTCTAGCCCAGAAGAATAAATACCATTCTCCAAGTGGGAAAATCAAAAAGTATATTGTCCCAGACTAGACTCACTAGCCAATTTTCTCAAACAAGGAAGTCACCATGCTACACCCCTAGAGTCAACACTCTCTAAATTTGGCAAAGGAGAGAGAGAGAGAGATCAAGCCACTAAAATAATGACTTGAAAGCCCTAATCCCCAGTACAGGATGCCCCAAAGCTTAAAATAACTTTTTAATAATATTGTGATCACGAGCTATAATCTCAGTGCTGTTCCATCACTTACTTGTCCAGAGTTTCATCTAAGGTTTCATATGAGTTCTTGTAACACTCTATTCTTTTCATGAAGTCTTCTGTTGCTTCATCATTACTACAATCAACATAGTCAGGACTACCCAGCTTCACTTGCTGTTTAAAATAAAACCAAAGAATAGTATTTAAGTTTCCTTCCCTTCTTCCTGGATGTTTAAAGAAATAGGGAGTGAGGAAACACAACAAAAAGCTTTGAAACTTCATTAAAATACATATAAAGCAAAAAAAAACCAACCTACTCTTCAGAGAATTAAACTTCTGTGCTAGTAACATTCACATGGACAGGGAAAAAAAAACCCACTTTTTTTTTCCATTAATGAGAGCTAATGTGGGGTTTTGCTATTGGAAGTTCTTATCATGTACTTCTAAAACTACTGAGCTACTTTAAACCTCCCAATGTCAAGCTGTTAAAGCAAACTTTACTCACCACAATGTTTGCAGCAATGACCTCTGGATCGACACACACAGACTCCACAAAAAAAGTCTTCAGTCCAAATGAACATGATCAGAAGGGAGGAAGAAGGAAGATGAATGAAAACACCTCTGGATACTAACATACACGAGCAGCATGTCACCCACTTCCACACCAATGCCTTTTTCCCTCCATTTACTGAGAAAGCTTCTCCAGACCCTCTCATCAGAAATTCCTGCCTCACCATTCCATGACACATCATGCCCTGTACTCTTTTCCCCAACAGTGTTTGCAAGTGGAAAATTCTCACAGTAGAAAAGACGTAGGATGGAAGAGGAAGAAACAAATGCAGAGGATGCAAGTTAGCCCCACAAGCAGTAATAACATTGCTGAAATAACATTTTAGAAGCCTCCCAGCTAATGGAGTAACCTTGCTTATAAAGAGGCTTGTGTTCTGCTGTATCAAAAGCTTACAAAAATTAAGTTTAGAGGAAATAAAAGATGACTGGAAAACAGCTAAATGTAAAACCAGAAGGCAGAAAACCACTAAGTTTTTGGTTTGTACAGAACTAACACAGAATCCCCTTCATGTTCCTGAAGCAAAGATGTGAACTGCATGAAGAACCATACTTTAAATGTGCTTTCTGACACTGCACTCATCACCACAGGTCCAGGAAGACAAAACTGTAGCACAAAATAGCTTAGCTCCAAACAGTACAAACACTAAAGATGACAAAAATGAGGGCTGAATGACTACTAATCACAAACAATGCTTAGGAACACAAAACACATTATTGATGAAACATCCAAGAAGGATGTGCCTTGTACTAGTCCACTGAAGAGTACAGATAAGGGCAAAACTACCACTGCCTTACTTGGCCATGCAATAGCTCAGAACTGCTTTGCTTTGACTCACCTTATATCCATTTTCTTCCCCAAACTTATAAATAGTTTCTCTACGTTCTCGAGTTGTGTTTGTAGCATCAAAGACCTAGGAACAATTAAAAGGAGAGAGAAAAAGGAATTTAAAAAGCAGCACAGCCTGTGGAAAGCACTGTGTTAGTAACAAAAAAATATGGATTTAAAGTCCCCCGATGTGCAGGAAAGCAATGGAAACACTTCCCCTTCCCCTCTATCTCAACATGCTCAACAAGAAAACAAAGACATTACTACTTTACACATATTATTTTCTAAATACTAAAATTTCATAATATTTTGCAATCAATTCTAGCAGAACTCTCGATTTGGAAAAGGAAATCAGAATTTAAGCCTAGCACACACTACAGGAGAGAATCTTCCTCCTTGCCCATTATCAGTATTAAACTCAGTTTAGCTCTGAACACATCATTTTTTTACTAAAGTATGAAGTTTGCCAAAGCATACCATTTACCTCGTTTATCCAGCAGAACTTATAGTTAATGGCTTTCCCTGAATAGTTAATAAAAACCCCAGAGTTGTTGTCAGTAGTCTTAAGAAAAAAAATTAAAAATTAGTCTCAACATGCAATGGCAAATCAAAACACTGATGTTTTGCATCCCATCATTAAATACTCAGGTATGCTGCAACTTATTGTTTCTCCTGCTCTCTTCAGACATTTCATGCCAGTAACAAGTGCCAAGAAATACAGAGGACACTTTTTGCTCAGCTAGTCTTTACCTTCCACTTGGACCGCTAAACCATCAAACGGGCATGCAAGCAAAATGGCAAATGTGTTTAATGGTATATAGTGGAGCAGTGTCCTATAGTAATGTGGAGAGAAGGTGGACTTTTTTTCTTGCTGTTATATCCTCTTCTCAGCTAACCCCTCCAATCAAAGGATTGATGATGCTCAATATGGCATCATCACCCTGAAATTCAGCACTCAGTTCAGTGCAGCGACAAGGCAGATCTAACTGCCAAAGAAAAGAAATCCAGTATACTGGAGAGCTATTGCAATCACTCAGGCTGTGTATTATCCAGCAGACACACAGTGTTCAGTGCAGAGGCATCTCAAGAAGGCATCTTCAACAAGAAACTTACAGCCACGTGCCCGTTCTCTTCACTGAGGTACTGCCGGACGTCATTCAGCGCTGCTAAGGCACACTGTCTTCAGAAGGAAAGAATCACAGTCAAATGCTCGTTAAAGGCATTTTGTTAATGCACTTGTGAGCCAAGTGCCCTGAAAACATTAGATAATTTATCTCAAAAACACAGACCTGCCTCCAAACACAAGGAAAAGCTGACAGAGGTCAGCCAAGCTACACTAAGGAAATGTGGCCATGTCACCTTGCTCTTCTCTAACACAGCTACACATCCACAGAACGCCCATCAACTTTGCTGATCAGGATGCACTTCACTGATCTAAAATAACATCACTGAAACATCCCTGCAACCATATGCTTTTCCCAATTACCTATCCATACATAACTGCTTCTTAATTTGATTCACAAAATAAGATAAACCAATTTAAGGGGTTTATCTTGTGGCACTAAGTTGAAGTGGAGAGACAACTTTTTCAGTAATCTACTCACTCTCTTTTGAGCTACTGTACAAAAACTGCACATGTAAAGAAAAATTTTTTAAAACAGAGAGCGGAACAAAGGTAACATCAGGTATTGGTGACTGAGGTGAAATATCATCCCACTGCAGTCACCAATCCAGTGTAAATAAGTACTGGAGACAACTGAGGACACAAACACCAAAAATCCCCACCCTAACACTTTACACTTGCCTTAAATCTGGACAAGAACATATGAATATGCAACTGTGTCCCCAGCACTAGCATTATCTTCAAAGTCCATTATAATTCCTAACACGTCATTTATGCTGGAGGGCAACATTGTACACGATTTACTTGTTAGCAGAACAAAGCCCCATTTATTCCCAGTAAGTACAGCCTCTTTGCACTACCAACATAAAAGCCTGCCCATTTCAACAGCCCTTCCCTGCAGTACTCCTGAATTTTGACTTCCAGACTGAAATTCATAACTCCTCTATTTACCATCTTCTGCAAGCACAGACTTATTTTGAAAGAGAAATGAAGGCTTTTGGATCCTGACAGTATTTCCATATTAGCACAGTCAACAGATGTCAGGAGCTGAGATTCATCACCCAGGTCTTCACTGAATAAATACAAACCCTCTTAACACATTGCTAACCAGGCAGATTATCTCACTCAGCCCCGTTTCATGCTACATCCCTCACCATTTAGCCTAATAGGTGACACAGAGGCACATTAAAAGGTTTGGCTCTACCTGTAAGCAAAAGGTAGTGGCTTGCAAGGCTAATGCACCTCTTTATCCCCAAGGATTGGGAGGCTCTTATGCAAGCTGCTGTCTTTTGGCTTAAGGGGGAAAAAGAGAAGAGAAACAGGGGACAATGCAAGGGACAGTCACAAAAGAAAGTCCAGACATTTTTGATGTGCAAGGGGAAGCTGAATTAAGAACAAGACAGCTCATAGTCTAAGTAGCCTACATAAATATTATTTCAGTCCATCTCAAATTTCTCATTTCCTTCTCAATTCACATGGCACGTGCTAAGTGCTTTCCTGAACACACTAGTAAGTACAGTGAATGTTGAAGAAAATCAAAAGGTCTTTTCATTTGATCTTCTCAAAGAAACAGTTGCCTCTTGCTCTGACCTTTCTCCCCATCTATCCTTTCTTCACAAGGTCTGTCCCTACATTAAAGCACAGCCTCTTTCCAGGCAAAAGCAGAGACTCAAATGCTTCATCTGAACACAAGCTCATTCTCTTTTTGCTTTTCACAGCATTAGCAAAACATGGCAATTTTTGAGGCTGTGGATTGATGGACTGAATGAGGCACCTGCATGGTGGCAAAAAACACAGTTTCAGAGAGAAAATTAACACATTGATTCTCACTCATTTAAGCAGATAATGATGAATACATTCAAAGTGCTCCAGATGAACAATTTCACTATGCAAATCAAAAAGAAAAGCACTTACATGTTTTTTTTCCTTTATGAAGCAAACAAAAGCTCTAAAATGGGATTTTAGGAATTATGCAGTAGAAAGTCACATCTATTAGCTGATACCTTACAAAAAGGTAGGAAAAGTTCCAACTAACTGTTAAAATAGTTTTTGAGTGAAAATGTCCTAGAGTATCTACAGGAATAACAGTAGTCACATCCTAATGAAAAGGAATCAAGAAGGACTTCTCTCCATTTTTGATGCTTGAGATGAAACAATCAAGAAAAAAAGAGCCCCAGACTTTAATCAACCTAAAGAAATCACTGTTCCACCGTCTCTAGAATGTCTTTTCCTGTAGTATCCCTTAAGGGTCTTCTTGATCATACAAAAATGCAACTTCAAGCCATCTCTAAGAGCAAATTACACAGGATATCATTTTAATATTATTAGCATGGTGTACCAACAATCAAAACTTACTTCCTGATTTTCAAGCCTTCTTCATTGTCAGGCAGGAAGAATTCAAAGGATTTATACTTTTTCACCAAATCTCGACGATACTGACCAACATTAAATTCTGCCAAGAGAAACCAGTATTAGCGAGAGCCAGCAACAGTCACGTGAGAAGGACAAAAGTTATGACAACTTTGAAAGCAAACTTCCTGCAAAGATAAAATAACTCAGCCTGTAAGAAGTCAATGTATCATACTTTTCGTGTTTTGGGAGTTTTAAAATAGCATGACAGCAATGAATCTTGGAAACAGCTAAAGAACATTTGGGCTGTAGTCACTCCACTTCAGCAGCCACACTGTAGTGCCTTTGTCTGCCAGTCTGCCTGGACAACAAAAACAAATTCTCTTCCTCCTTTTCAGGGGTTACTCAAAGTCTATAAAGGACTAGTAATTGTTATTAATAATATTTTATTATTATTATTATTAGTCTTTTCTTCTATGTATATGTACAGTGAAACAGTATTCAGACAGCACCTCCCAAAACTTACAGCTCTTATTTAAGCAAAGCAGAGCTCTAAATAGAACTAAACAATCTTGCTTTAGGTAAACAAAACTTAAAATTCCAGTATTGGAAAGATTTTTCCAGAACTCTGCTCAAATACTGCTATTCCTTAAGGATTAGTATTTCACAGTCCTTGTCCCACTTACTAGAAAAACAAACAAAAAAAGATAAATCGCTAAAGCAAAAAAATAATTTAAATATCACCCTAAGCATGAAACAATCTCACTGTGATCTCATGTCAGTGGTCAAAAAACATCTGCTCCTCATCTGGGCAAAGATGCAAAAGGTCCATGCCCAAACACAGCCACAATATCAAGTATGGGATTAGAGCAAGACAGTTCTGCTTCGCAGCAGAGCAGAATGACACTGAACCCTAATTAATTTCATTCAATGCCTCTGAAAGCAGGTCCCTGAAATGCAATTAATGTTTTAGTTGTTTCAGACCCACAGGTTTTTTTCTGTTGACCTGCAAAGCCTTTGGTTCTGTTTTTTTTTAACATTAAACCACACTGAAGTATTCTGTTTGAGATGCTGCCAAGATACAACTCTATTTGCCAGACTTCATTTCTGGAAAGAGAAAAAGAAGCTGTAGACACAATTATAAGGTTGTAGTTAAGAAAAAAAGACACAGAATAAAAGAGTTCAAGAACCAGCTGCTGTATACAGATTGCTGTTGGGATTGGAGGCAGAGGATAAAGACACAATTTTTTTCCCCCCAAAGGTCAAGTTTTGTTTGAACTCAGCAGTGTTGATAGAATTTTTCGTGGCATGGATTATAGAACAATCCAGGTGATTCTGTGATGGTTTTGATGAGCACTGGCCACAGTGGCTACATGAAAAGGTGGATCCTTGTAAAACAAACAGAAGGTGCAAGAAGTTCAGATGGCAAGTGTTGTCAGACAAAAGCATTTCAACAATCAAAAATAATGAGTTTCGTGAGAAGGAATAGTTACTGCCAGAGGGCCATGCACAGCAAAGGAAAAAGTGCTATCTAGTGGGACAAGCTTCAGCCTTTTTTCTTAGCAGCCACGCCTATGGAAAAGTTTCCCAAAGCTAACTGGTATCACAACCACAACTATTCAAAAAAGCTTCCAAGGCTTAGTGTCTCAAAACCACAATTCTATTCAGACATCTAATTGACCTCATTTCCTTCAAAAAGCACAAACAAAAGTTCCCTGTACTTTTAACCATTTCACATTCTAAACAACAGAGGATTTGGGAAGGAAGAAAACACAGAAATGACGGCCGAAATGATTCAACCATCACCAAACCTGGGCTATTTACCTCCACCTTCTGTTCTTGAACTCTCCAGCTTGCTCAACGTCACATGAAAAGATGGCATTCATCTTTTTTCTGGTTTACATAACCTCATAATTTGAACCATCTGTCACAGAGAACAAGAACTCTTGCTAAATTAAGCACACACTAATTTTAAGACATTAAGAGCCAAAGGGTAGCAGATGTTAGGGCTACTTGATACTGATCCTGTATCAGTTCAGTCCCACTGACTGGAAAAATTAGGGAAAATGTCATCTATTGCCTCAGCCAGGCAGTGAGGTGCTTTACATTGACTTTGACTTCAGTAAAATTGCATCACTGAAGTCACAGACAGAAAGGCTCTGTGGTTTTCTGAGAAAATCTCAGTCACCCTCCCTAACAAAGACAAACAATAATGCCAGGACAGGGGTTCATATGGCAACTTTCTGTTGCATATTTTCATAAAACTGGGCAGCAATGCTCTACCTGGTTTTCATCAAGCACAAGTGTGTGTTTTCTGATGTGCTGTTCACAGTAGCCCACAGAATTTTTCCTACAGCTGAGCCAAAACCCATCTACAGTAAAATTAGTATTTGGGATTCAACCAAGCATGAGCCAGATGTGGATAATATCTTGCCTGTTGTCCAATACTGGACTTCTGCTTGTCAAAGTTCACACAGTGAAGTGCTCAAACTCAATGACATTTATAGATAATACATCTCATAAATTTAAGTTACATGTATATCTAACATACAAGCATTTTGTCACCTTGGATATAGGCTAAACTGCTTGGATTGTTATTTCATTTAAGCCTAATGGATAAAACTGAACTCTGAACTAGCTGACACTGGTCATCAGAAGGGTTAAACCATGTGAAAACAGTCAAAATTAAGTGATAATTTAAATCCTGTTAACTCTCAAACAATATAATATATCCTCCATAATGTCTCTCCTAAATAAAGCACATTAAACAAGCTCCTAAAAACTTAAGAAAACACCCACACAAAAAGATTTAGCCTAAAATCAAAAGACAGTTTAAATATAGGCAAGAATTTTTCATCTTGACTTCTTAGAGCTACTAGGAAATACATCTCTGAATAGCCAGCCAAAACTCCACACTTTAGCATGTGTTTAATGTTGTTTAAATTATTAACTAGCATAAAGCTACTATTACTGGACTGGACACTGAATGACAGCACACCAAATATGTCCTGCTCTTTTGCAGAGAGGAGAAGGAAGGGGAGGTGGCTTCTCAGAACCTCAAATGGACTTAGGTCCTGTTTACTGGGCCCACAAAATACCACAGCAGCCCAGCCAGGTCCTTGGCACAGCCAATCTGAGCCATTTCCTGCCCAAAACACACACACAAATCCTTAAGAAGGTGATAATAAGTAGCAACTGGCTGCCTCAGTCCTTGGGCTCTTAGTATTTAGACAAAGAACTGCAAGTCATTCCACAAACACAAAGAAGTAGAGAATTGCAAGTAGCACAAAGTTCACAGAGAAAAAAAGATGGAGAAGTCGGGAAGTTTAACCCAGAAGTGCCGACTGTTCAGCTGTTTGTAAACAACATTCCTTTTCAGCCACATGAAAAAAGGAAAAGAAGGAAAAAATAAATAAACAAAAAAGGGCAGTGGTTAATGATATGGGGGAAAGGTTGATTTAGGCACCTGGCAGAACAAGGAGGTAAAGGGAGAGCCAAAATAATTTGATCAATTAACACTTAAAACAGCAATGTGCCTGTCTGTTACTGCTTAAAAATATATTAACATAGCATAAGGATTTTAAGTAGTCAAAACTGGGCAAGAAAATTACTGGAAATCAGGTTTATAAACCACCTAACATTGTGCCCTGTCCTTCTGATGTAAACAAAAGTAAACCCATCACCTTTCGTAGGCACTCCAATCCAATTTAAGTAGCGTGTCAGCTTCTTCGAGATGTAGGTTTTTCCTCTTGCTGGGAGACCCACCATGACAATCAGAGTAGGGCAATTGGTCATACATACTGGAACAGAAACACAGGAAACCAGGATTTACCAGCAGCATTCCCACAAAGCAAAGACTGCTGCTGCAGTGGAAAACCCCTCTCTGCCAGCTCTCCAAGGACAATGAATCTGACCACCTTTCCTATGCTGAATTTTGGAAAGAGGAGTCAGTGGTAGTGCAGTGATGGACATGTGAGGTGTAAGCAGGCAGAAAAGCAGAAACCTGTGTATTTGCACACAGAAACAATACCGAAAGAAAGGAAACCTTTCCCTCTATAAAGGGGCATCTTATGCCTTAGTGCGGTGCTTGCATTGAAAGGAAACAGCAAGGTGTACAGCTTTTAAAATAATTTTTACATTTTTAAGACAACACCTACATACTGCTCAGTCTTCTTGATTTTGAGCAAAATAAGCATGACAGATGCAGCTTAATACATTATAGTAAGACATGCTACTCACTACTGATTATTTCTCCTTTAAGGATAATTAACACTAAAATCTCTCTTGAGCAGAGCTCATTTTGGCCGTTACAGAGAATAAGACACAGGTATTCTACACAATCAAGTACAATAATCTGATATAGATATATGTACACACTTAAAGCCAGAGCATTTAATTAAAAGAAAAAATAAACCTCAACACTGTAGGACGCTGAAGGAATTGTATGTATAATCTGAAAACCTTGAGGCATTTCCTTTCAAATCACAAGTTTATCAACATTTTAATAGCACGAAACTAAGGATACCTTGCATTAATCACAGCTACAAGGAACTGCCTAAAAAGAAAGAAGATATTAAAGTGGTGCAGATACCACCAGCTCCCTCCACCCTCTATTTTTAAGGGAATTAATTTCTATACAATCCACACATGTATCAATTTCCTAGGTGCCTCGACAGAGGAGATATTAATTCATTCCAAATGACCATATCTCCGTGATTAGCTGTAAGGCATAACTGAACTGCTGTACAAAGGACTGTGATTGCTCAAGATTCCCAGGCTTTGGATTCACCAAGTCCCATCCCACAAAGTCACTTGCATAAATCTGGTGCAGATAGTTCACATAACACATCAAAAAAGAATATGCAGATTAGCAAAGGCAGATGTACTGTTTTAATATGCACATTGAAAGACACAAACCAAAAAACATTAAAAATACACTATTTTTCATGAGGGAGAGGAGGTAAAATGGTACCCAGCCTCAAATCCATGAAACAGTCAACTACTCCCGGTAATGAAGGCTACAGGGAACTAAATGCAAACCAAAACACATCCATCCAAACATGACCAAGTCTGCGAAAGGACACTGATAGAAGTCCTCAGATTAAGTTCCTCTGTGCAGAAGCCTATAAACAAGAAAGGTTACAATTTCTTTTCCTCTTTGTCATAAGTTCAGGCTGTGAATCCCTTCCCCAAGAGGGTGAAGGAAGTCTCTAGGGAAACAACCAAGATTATGGAGTGCCAAGAGCACAGTGCTTATTAAGCTTAACAGCCTTCCTTACAGCTTTAAAGACAATACAGTAAAATACTGAGATGAGAGAAACCCCTGAGCCCCTAGAAATTTTAAGAGAAGATATTTTTCTTCAAAGCCTATTCAAAAAACAGGTGTTTCTTCACCTGAAACACCTAGCTCAAGTTTTGAACAATTTTTAAGTACAAGCAGGGAAGTAAGAACTGTAAAAGACAAACCAGGATCTGTATAGAAAGGCTCTGTACAGAGCCCCATCTGCTCCTGCTCTGCAAGTAACTGTGCTTAATGGGCTTTTCTACCCATTACAAGCAGAATTTACCAACTTTTTATTCTTAGAGCAACTCTTCTTTTTTTTTTTCTTTTTTTTTTTCTCTGCTTCTGAGGTCAGCCATATCAATTTTTCCTTCTTACAGAACATTTGTCTTTTGGTAATGCAGCGATAAACCTGTACTGGAGTAAAACTACAGGCTGGGAAACAGTCATGAAAAGACCTGCAAACCACTTTAATGGTTGCTTCACAGATCATACCAACAGCTAAATTTCTAAATTAAGTCTTACTGCCTGCATGGGTTTGTAATAGATTTTCTAACCAAGCAGCAAACAAGAGCAAGCAACTACAACGTGCACGAGGGACATTCAGTGTGCCTGCTACCACCTGCATTTTTACATAGATTTCCTCAAAGAAAGTACAAAACTGGCAAAAGTTGCCTTTCTTAGAACACCATGTGTCCAGTTTAACAGGCACATCTCACCTGTTATTCCAACCATTCTGGTGGAAAACCACAGAGCAGAAACCAAGAGAATTATCCCAATCAAACAAGTGGCAATCTTACTCTCATTAGGTGCCAGGTTGACCAAGAGTGGTTTTAATCTATAAAGACAGTTGTCCCTGTCTTTGTAAGGAGGAATACCACTGACGCCAATGATCCCAAATACTCTGCTTTTACAAATGCCACAGCCAAACAACACTACACAGGACATGGTGCTACAGGACATGCCATTCCTCAGTGTTTGTCTTTAACAAGAGGATGGCAGTTCACAGTCTAAAATTCAGGGCACTAAAAAAATGTTTGGCGTTCTGGATCAGATGGCCACCAGTGGCTGCAGCCTCACACCACCTGCACAGGTGGCACTTAGTGACAAACACACCTGTGCATTGGGAAGTAGAAGTCAAATGCACCTGTGCTGGCCAAAACAGCCCATTCACAGCTAAATGGCAGGACTAAAAATAAAAGCACACAAAGCAGCTATTTTACCTCTTCCATACCTCAGTGTAGCATTCCCAACACACAAAGACTCGGTACAGCAAACTTTATTTCCTCCCTTATGATCCTGTGTAATTAACAAGGCTTAATTTTGTTCAGTAGTTGAATAAAAAAGACCAGAACAGAAAGTAAAGTTCCAAGGATATAACAATTACTCCAAATAAATTAATTATCTTTCACTTTATCTAAACCACAGCTTTTGCAGCAGAATACTGCCAACACTCACTGCAAGCAGGGAGGAATATTCATTCCCATGAAGGTATTTTCAATATCAGTGTCTCATGGCTTACATTTTCCCTTGAAGAAACATAAGCAAACTTGACATGAGGAAGTAGGTTGATAAAAATAACCAAACATACCACAAGTTACATGTATGTAATTCCTGGTTTCCCAGCGGCACAGCGTTCAAGCCCCCCTTCCACAGCACCTCACCATCGTTCAATTTATATTAAAGAAAATTTCCAGTGTGAGTTACAGGTGTGTGAGTTAGAGCCAAGGCAGACTCCTAAGGGCAGCTTTCTCCCTTACCACTGGATTGTCTGGTTTATCTCCAGAAATATCTCTACACAGTCAAGTCTCCAGAAAACAAACTCGTTTTTCTACTGCTTCGCATATGTAACTCCTAAGGGTTTCTGACAGCCCCAACCTGTGGATGTGCCATCAACACTGATTTTGTTAGAGAAACATAAGCACTCAGAACAGTAAAACAAAACTTATAGGTTGTACACCATCACTTGCTAAAGATGCTGTAAGACTTTAGTCAGTTTTTTCTACAAAACAGATGCTTGTAATATATGCATTTAAGAGTGCTTGTTTATAAACAGCATCAACAAAGACTGGGTACACAGAAAAAAACACACCCAAAATACCGAATAGTGAGAGAAAACGGCCAAGTGATGAAGTGCTGCAACTGAAGCAAAGCCATTATCCCAGTTCAATATTTCTTAAACATTACAACACAGCAAGTTGCAGTTCAAGAGCAAAATTATGACTGCCTACCCTTCTAAAGTTTAAGACTTAACAGCCAAGGAAAAATAAATTACATGTTTATTTCTTGCCTCTTAAGACTCTATTGTGAAATAATGCAAATGCAAAAAAAGGTTGTGAAACCAAAGTGGGACATGGAACAATCTAGATCAGCTGTGCTGCAATTCATCAGCCCTCAAAACTCTCATGGATCTTGTGAAATCAGAGTCAAGAGTTGATATTTTCCAGGTTCACTTAGTACCAAACAAATTATCAGCTGTCCTTTCCTTTGACCCAGAATTAGATTTTGTTTTTTTCCTTGTATGTGTTAAGGACGGATGTTTTTTTTTGTATCAAGCTGTTACTGTTAGAGATCTGAAGTTTACAAAGTGTTCTTGCAGTTTCTACAGCCTTCAATTCAAGGCCTGTTCTCCAAAAATCCTGTACTATCTAGAGCCTCGTATCTCTGACTTTAAACCAACACAATCACCCTTCCAAATAATAAGGTTAACCCTACATGATTTATCCATCACTTATCCAAGCTAACCATCCATCATATCCTTTTGATCAGTGATGACAACCAGTCTCCCTTCTTTGCATCCCATGGGGATGAGTTCCCTATCCTCCTGTTCTTCCTGAGAAGCATCTGCTGCTAGACCAGAAGAAGCCCATTATCTTCTAATTTGTCTCTCCTCTTTTTGCTCAAACCAGAATGTTTTTAACATCACCTCAGTACAAGGAATTCAGAATTCACATTTGTCCCCAGGCCAGCCTTGTGCTACCAGCTGCTCCAAGCTGCTCTGTCATTCACTTCCTCAGGGTCACCTTTTGCTTCCTACAGCTCTGATGCCAACAGCAACGATCCCATCACACATCCTGCTCCTCAGGCACCTTCCTCACCTCATTCGCTCTCCTATTTTCAGTTCCTAGGATTAGGAGCATGAATACACACAAGCAGCACGTGCTCAAAGGGTAGAGTTCTTTAGAGCAGAGACAGTAATTCAATACTTTTTTTTGGATGTACATTTCTACTGCTGTACCAACAGCAAATGACAATTATTAGAATAACCAAATTCCAGCAGCAGTAGGGAAACAAAGTGTTTAACTGTAGTGGGGGGGAATGTTTAACCACAGGAAGTTCACTATTTATCTCTCACTATAAACATCCTCTGATGGCCTCTCCAAAAAACTTTCACTAGGGCCTACTTGGCTATTTGTTTTTAATGTCCATGTTTACAGCCCACTGCTTGATTCAGAAGTTAAAGCAATCTGAACATCCAATGCCAAGAGCTTTAATTCAACCTATTCACAGACAAAACTTTTCTCAAGTGCCCACAAAAGGCAAGCCACAGCTATTAATAACAATATGCACTTCCAGTGCCTTCAGGTGTGACTTTGGAAGGTCACCAGAACAGTTACTTCAGCTGCACCAGTGCCACCAGCCGTAAAAGCTGCCTGCTCAGTAGGCTGCACACAGACACAACTCCTCCTTGAAGACCTTGTACAGCACAGACTAAAAGAACTGGCTCTTCAAAGACCTTGACAGCTAAACTCTGGCACAGCTCAACAGATTTCTTCTTCCCAAGACAACTGTACTTGCTACAACTTTTAGAAAATCACACTAAAAACAGCTAACAGAGGGAAGTCCTTTTGTAGACAAATCTGCTGAGTCCTCAACTGGAAGCATGTACAATTCTGTCCATCCACCTTTTAGAAGGATAAAGCCTAAAGGTAGTGCAGGTAAAGATCAGCAGCACAAAGCAGAAAATAAAAATCCCGACCAAAGGAGACTGGAAGAGCTCATCTTGTTTAGCCAAGAAACTCAGAACAGAGTGGCTAACTTCACCTTTCTCACTGCAAAGCTACACTTGAGGACAAGAAAACCACTTCCACCTTGAGCTGGTATTTTTGGAACAGTAACATCTGACACAATCACCTGGAGCAGCAAAGAACGGGAACTGGTCAAGCCAACACAGCCCCAAATCACCCATCTGGGCAGTCCATCCTGAGCTGCCACAGCGCTCACACTGCCTCACCAGAACACAGGGCAACACAAGACACGTGGAAA